ATCATTTCACGGCTCTGGGAGAGATATCGCCGGCGGAATGCTGTAGCAGATGCCCCTCGTAGTGGGCGACCTCGAGCGACCACTGCGGCGCAGGATCGCTACATCCGGGTACATCATCTGAGTCATCGAACAGCTACGGCGACCAGTACCGCTCGACAAATACACGGATTGAGGAGGCTTTCTGCACAGACCGTCAGGAACAGGTTGAGAGAGGCTGGTTTACGTGCCAGAAGACCTTATTTTGGCCCTGTGCTTCGACAACAACATCGTCGACATCGAGTTCACTGGTGCACCAACGTTCAGGCCTGGAACCTACCGAATTGGCGTAGAATCTGGTTCAGTGATGAATCACGATTTGTATTGGAACGACGCGATTGAAGAATGCGGGTGTACAGACGTCGACGTGAACGTTTCTCCGACGCTTGCGTTCCCCAGGTGGACAGATTCGACCGGGGCAATGCTATGATATGGGGAGCGATCACCTGCAGTAGGAGAAGTGATTTGGTGATGATCCAGGGCAACCTGACAGCTCAACGGTACTGTGTCGAAATCCTACGCCCACACTTCTTTCCAATCATTGATCGCCAGAGGGAGTTGTTTCAACAGGACAATGCCAGGCCCCACAGCACGTCACACTAGAGACTTCCTCCAGATCCACAACATCAATGTGCTCCCCTGGCCCTCAAGATCACCGGACTTAAACCCGATCGAACATCTGTGGGATGCCCTGGACAGACGGGTGCGACGCCCTAACCCTCAGCCCAAGACACTTCAGCAACTCGCACAGGCACTACAGGCAGAGTGGGCTGCGATTGGGCAACACGAGATTCTGAGACATATTCGTTCGATGTCGAGGCGATGCCGTGCAGTTCTGGATGCCCACGGTGGTCACACGAGGTATTGACTTCAGCGCCACCACACGTCTCCATGTGACACTCAAACTGACTTTCCTTGAGGTGTTGCCAAAGACGGATAAGTCTGCATTCCCAGTGTGCAACTTCGCTATATTTCATTGACTCATAAAGCCTACAAGATGTTTCAAAATAAACATAAAAATACAGTTGAAATTCCTATATGCGTTTCTTTTTGGGAGAGTATATATGCCATTTTACCACCATATGCTACTCACGATTAAAATAAAAATTATACAACAAATATTTCTTTCGTCCAAAACTATGCATTGTAATCAATGTTTGCATAATATTCAGATTGGGAGAATGTATCTTAAGAACTCGTGAAAATAATTATCCTGCAATCACTCAGGCGTTCCATAGCTATAAGTCCGTGTGGTATCGTGACTAACATTCCCCAAAAGCACATGACACGACTTGGAGAGCAGCAGCTTTATTGCGGTCGGCTGGAGCATACATACTTGGGCGGGAAGCACATGGCCCGATGACGTAATAGTCCCATCATGCATTGGGATACACATGGAGCAGTTGTTTCCATCCGGTATTTAAGGGAGCATTACGTATCAATTCAGTCACGTTAATAGTTACATTACTACAGTCCGCATATATATTTCGCGTCGTTCTGTAGGTTTATTCGTTTATAAACATTTGGTAGTTAAACCATTAATTCACCTCAACATTATTGACTGGAATAGTAGCAAACAGCCCGAAAACTGCCGGCCCGAGTTATCCTCTTATCATAATTGTTAGTTATACCTTCGAAACAGAAGATACGCAAATCCTTCGTGGACTCCTTCTAAATTCTGTTCAGATTGTCAGGTATTAAATGTGAGCAAACCCTCAACTTACGCTATCCCAACAAATGGTTATCAAGGCATATTGGCTTGAATGCCGTGATGTAGTCCTTACTTGAGTTTCAAAACTGAAAATAATACAAGGAATCTATGGAATCCTAGACATTGTGGCGTTGTCGCCCTCATAAAACAGGCAAAAAAAATGGCACATTTGACAAAAGTGCAACAATGCGACAATGTCCCTTCTAGGATTACATAAGAATCTCTTTGATGTACGTAAGAAGCTAGGAGTTTGTTTGACGTAACTGAGGACACCGACACTTGCTAAACCATCCTAGCCTTGCATTACAGGTATTCTTCTTTTCTTTATATGTCTGGGTCTCCAAGACAGACAAGTCAGGTCGGGTGATAGGGTACTGCTTCATGGACACAAGAAAACAAGGTTTTTTATCAGGTCTGTCTGTGTCTAGAGTAATGGATATAAGTGTATTGAATAGCAGATAGTGGTTACATGTAACTTGATGATATGAATTTGTGTTGTTTGCAATTCCCGTAGTAAGATACAGAGATGTAGAGACCAGCTGCAGCTGACGACATAAATTGTGTTAATTATCTTTTGCACTTTAAGCCCTGGGAATTACCTACAATCAAACACGGACTTCTGTACCATGAAGCTGACTTTGGCTTATATTCATGAAAATGTCTCTTAGGTTTCCATATATCTTTGACGCGTAAATATCCGAGTTCGAATTGGTCTTCAGCAACTCATGATTGTCGTCAGAAGGGATTAACATATGGACATATAGCTATATGGACTGACTTCATGCTGTAGGCTGTCTGGACTGATACTATGTTTTAGGGTATAAGGGTATATGGACCGACTCCATGCTGTAGTCTGTCTGCACTGATACTATGTTTTAGGATATATGGACCGACTCCATGCTGTAGACTGGCTGGACTGTTACTATGTTTTAGGCTGTTTGGACTGACTCCATGCTGTAGTCTGTCTGGACTGATACTATGTTTTAGGCTGTTTGGACTGACTCCATGCTGTAGACTGTCTGGACTGATACTATGTTTTAGGCTGTTTGGACTGAATCCATGCTGTAGTCTGTCTGGACTGATACTATGTTTTAGGATATATGACCGTCTCCATGCTGTAGACTGTCTGGACTGATACTATGTTTTAGGCTGTTTGGACTGAATCCATGCTGTAGTCTGTCTGGACTGATACTATGTTTTAGGATATATGGACCGTCTCCATGCTGTAGACTGTCTGGACTGATACTATGTTTTAGGCTGTTTGGATAGTGTCCATGCTGTAGACTGTCTGGACTGATACTATGTTTTAGGATATATGGACCGACTCCATGCTGTAGTCTGTCTGGACTGATACTATGTTTTAGGGTATTTGGACTGTCTCCATGCTGTAGACTGGCTGGACTGATACTATGTTTAAGGCTGTTTGGACTGAATCCATGCTGTAGGCTGTCTGGACTGATCCTCTGTTTTAGGCTGTTTAGACTGGCTCCATGCTGTAGTCTGTCTGGACTGATACTATGTTTTAGGCTGATTGGACTGAATCCATGCTGTGGGCTGTTTGGACTGATACTATGTTTTAGGCTGTTTGGACCGACTCCATGCTGTAGGCTGTCTGGACTGATCCTCTGTTTTAGGCTGTTTAGACTGGCTCCATGCTGTAGACTGGCTGGACTGATACTATGTTTTAGGCTGTTTAGACTGGCTCCATGCTGTAAACACTGATGACAATTCGTGACTGGACTGATACTATGATATTGAACAATGTTGTACGGGGTTCGTATGTGTGGAGTAAGTAAATGAATATACAGGAACTGTTGCAGTCGGTTATTTAAACATAAATCACGCTGTTCTACGGTCTTGTTGTTAATTGTCGATATTCTTTTCTCTACCATCTTGTGAATAGATGTAAAACATTATATGACTCGTTTTTGCTTGCCCGCTTTAAAGTTTCGAATGTAAACATCATAAATCATCCACGGTCGACTAATTTGTATCTAAAAACAGAAAGCATCAGATGTTGTTTTCGGAAAGATACACTTGTGGTGATATTGGATGCTTGCAGGTTGATCCTCACTGCGAGGTGAATGCCTCCTGGGCTGTCTGTTCGGGCTGAAAATGTCATGTCACATTTCAAGTATTTCGTCAGCGGTCAATGTCCCTGTGCTATACGACAGTGGGACAACTACATATTGTCAGTATAGTATCACCTCCTGAACACTCACATTCCCCTCTGTGGTGTAATGGATCTGCCGCAAATGCGGAAGATTGGTAGGAGAATGAGTTGGGTTTTACACCGCTTTTAACAATCTTACAGAATTATCAAAGCGGGGGACAACAGAAATGGGCGTGACGCATTATATCCATCTTGGCAATCGAACCTAAGTTAGGCGTGACGAGCGAATGCGTTAACCGCTGGGCTACCCTACCGTCAGAAGGTTGATGGTTCTCGACATACCAAAGTTAAGAGACCATGCTGGCCATCTGTATTGAGAGAATTAAACAAGGACTGGTCGGCGTTGAATCATATTTCTGACACATATGGTTACTTGTTAGAGTATTCATGAGCACAGAGACCTCAACTTTTTCCATGTAGACGATTGGCACATATTCCTGGTGATGTCGTCCAAATTGTCATTGGGAGATTGATTCTGACCATGTGACACCACATGCTGACATCTCATCTCCCTACTATACCCATGAGAATTGGTCTTCAGCAACCCATGCTTGTCGTAAGAGGCGTCTAACGGTACAGGGTGGTCAGGTTCGCTGACTTGGTTCACACATTTCATCGTATTCCAATTGCGTAGATCGATGCTCATACTGTAGATCACAAGATTGCCTGGTCCAGACTCATAAAGCTGAAATATTGCGGCGTAAAAAACAAATAAAAGAAAAACATACTCTACGAATACCAGACATACCACTAACATCTCATCTTCCCTTCCCCACACATCATGTGAATTACATGTGTTTAACACTATATTCTTAACACCAAGGACGGCTCCACACGCGTGACAAATACCATGTCACCCCCTTACACACAAGGAATTGACGCTACACCCCCTGTTCCAGTTTTAAGGCTAACACTGAAACCTTGCTGACATAAAGTATTTCGGGACAGTTTTTCATCTTCCATTACAACCCGCCTACCCTACAAGTAATTCAAGAGACCCTATAGTTACTACCCATCTACCCTGCCACATGAATAAACTGAGCTGATTCTGGGTGTCTGGTCGCTCGTCTCACCTTCATTCACGTCTTTCAAGATGGCGACCACGACGACATTGTCAGTGTACGACTACGTCGTGATTGCTGCAACGTTGGCAGTGCCATTGGGTATAGGGGCTTACCTGGCCATATGGGGAGAAAGAACAACACCAAAGAGGAATATCTGCTTGGAGGGAGAAGTCTTCATCCGTTCCCTGTCATGTTGTCGCTTTTGTGACGTTCATGTCGGCAACGTCGCTAATAGGAATACCGGCAGAGACGTTCACAACTGGGTCGGATTTTTTCTGTTTGTGGTGTCTACATCTGTTTCGTATCCCATCGCCTTGATCACCGTTGTCCCAGTAATGCACGCCCTCCAAGTCACGAGCATGTATGAGGTGAGATGTTGGTAAAACGTACATAACGCTTATTGTACACTATCTTGCCAAGTTTGTTTGTTGTTTAACGTCGCACTCAGCAATATTCCAGCTATATGGCGGCGGTCTGTAAATTATCGAGCCTGGACCAGACAATCCTGTCATCAACAGCATGAACATCGATATAATGGAATTGGGATACGATGACATGCGCCAACCAAGCTGACCACCCCATCCCGTTGGTCGCCTCTTACGACAAGCATTGGTTCCTGAAAACCAATTCTAACCCGGATCTTCACGGGTTTAAGAAACAGAAAGGAAAATAAGACCCAACAGACGGTTGTAGTAAACATATTTTGTTAAATATTAAAGTTTTAAATTGAAAGTTCTTGTAGGTTCATTTTGCACCTCAAATATAAGACTGCGTTCTTTCTCTCTGCAGTACTTCCAGCTTCGTTTTGGGTCCCCCACCCTGCGTCTCCTGGTCACTTTGGTTGGCATGCTTCAAAAGGTGAGTCGAAACTAGTACCACTCAAGGCGGGACTTGTGCCCTCAATCACCTGGACTCCTGTTTGTGAACCCTCGTATATGTATGTTTGACCTTTGATTGGGGTGGTGCGGTAACCCAGTGGTTAAAGCATTCGCCCGTCACCTCGAAGATCCGAGTTCGATTCCCCACATGGGTACAGCGTGTGAAGGCAATTTCTGGTGTACCTCCACTGTGATATTGGTAGAATACTGCTAAAAGGCAGCGTAAAACAGAACTTACTCACTCAATCGATCTCGCATGTATACACATATGTAACATGGATAAGTCAAATTTCCCTCAAATTGACAAACGTTTGAAACAAACAGATATTATTTAATTATTATTTATGAATATCGTACACGTTGTGTGAATTATACGCAGATGTGGAAGTCAAGGCCGAAGACTTGTAATACGCTCGCAGGGGCATGGTGACACAAGTATACAAATATTCATCATCACGCATGACTGAAGGTGTTTTTATTTGGATGGTTATTTATAACCTGTTTACGACATGTAATGACTTAGCACAGTTAAGCAACAACTAATCGGCAAGAAACGGTGACATGTACGGGTTTGAATAATATTGCCATCATAATACTTAACCTCAAAATAATTACCACTAATAACTGAATCAGATGTAAAAAACATTTGACTGACTGACTGACTGAGTTTGGTTTTACGCCGCTTTTAGCAATATTCCAGCAACATCACGGCGGGGGACACCAGAAATGGGCTTCACACATTGTACCCATGTGGGGATTCGAACCCGGGTCTTCGGCGTGACGAGCCAACGCGTTAACCACTAGGTTACCCCACCGCCCCCCAAAAAAAACCCATTTGAAGATATTGCATGATTTGAGTTTAGATTTAGACTAATTAGATTTCGGAACATAGTGTTGGACATAATCGAATGGTCAGGTTTTTTTTCTGGAAGATATATACTCTCCCCAAAAAGAAACGCATATAGGAATTTCAACTGTATTTTTATGTATATTTTGAAACATCTTGTAGGCTTTATGAGTCAATGAAATATAGCGAAATTGCACACTGGGAATGAAGACTTATCCGTCTTTGGCACCAACTCGAGGAAAGTCAGTTTGAGTGTCACATGGAGACGTGTGGTGGCGCTGAAGTCAATACCTCGTGTGACCACCGTGGGCATCCAGAACTGCACGGCATCGCCTCGACATCGAACGATTAAGTCTCAGAATCTCGTGTTGCCCAATCGCAGCCCACTCTGCCTGTAGTGCCTGTGCGAGTTGCTGAAGTGTCTGGGGCTGAGGGTTAGGGCGTCGCACCCGTCTGTCCAGGGCATCCCACATATGTTCGATCGGGTTTAAGTCCGGTGATCTTGAGGGCCAGGGGAGCACATTGATGTTGTGGTTCTGGAGGAAGTCTCTAGTGTGACGTGCTGTGTGGGGCCTGGCATTGTCCTGTTGAAACAACTTCCTCTGGCGGTCAATGATTGGAAGGAGGTGTGGGCGTATGATTTCGTCACAGTACCGTTGAGCTGTCAGGTTGCCCTGGATCATTACCAAATCTCTTCTCCTACGGCAGGTGATCGCTCCCCACATCAAACACTGTCCCGGCCGAATCTGTCCACCTGGGGAACGCAAGCGTGGGCGAAACGTTCACGTCGACGTCTGTGCACCCGCATTCTTCAATCGCGTCGTTCCAATAGAAATCGTGATTCATCACTGAACCACATTCTACGCCAATTCGGTAGGTTCCAGGCCTGAACGTTGGTGCACCAGTGAACTCGATGTCGACGATGTTGTTGTCGAAGCACAGGGCCAAAATAAGGTCTTCTGGCACGTAAACCAGCCTCTCTCAACCTGTTCCTGACGGTCTGTGCAGAAAGCCTCCTCAATCCGGGTATTTGTCGAGCGGTACTGGTCGCCGTAGCTGTTCGATGACTCAGGTGATGTACCCGGATGTAGCGATCCTGCGCCGCAGTGGTCGCTCGAGGTCGCCCACTACGAGGGGCATCTGCTAACGAATTCTGCCGGCGATATCTCTCCCAGAACCGTGAAAAGGTGCTTTGGTGAACATTCATACGTCGGGCAACTGCACGTTGAGACTGGTCAGCTTCAAGCAAACCAATGGCGATATGACGGTTGGCTTCACTTAGACGTGGCATTTTGCGTTCGTCAACAATATTCCAAATACAGTGAATATTCGACAGAAAGCGATCAACCTTTTATACCCATCATTGAGACTATCTGATCCCCAACTTTCACGTGCATTGCATGTGAATTGTGTATTCTGTGACACTACACGCCGAAATTGAAAATCATGCTGTTAAATACGGGCATTTTAAGGATAGTGCGTTTTGTTGTGATGTTTCAAAACATAAACACCATAGGACTCATAAACAGAGCAAAACCTTTTGTAAAATGAATCACGTTTTAATTCATTGCTACATGAAATTGCTATTTTCATGATGCGTTTCTTTTTTGGGAGAGTATACTTCTTCTAGGAAAAAGACAATGACTGCCACAAATCATGCATTGTAGGATGTCGGTTTTCTTGAAAAAGCCTCTTAAATTTAATAGGAAAAATATCTAGTCATGCATACGAGATATGCAAAATATCACATCTCCTTCCCAAATCCCTGTCTGGTTTGCGTTGAGGTTTTCGTCTACCATTCACACCAAGGGAAATGCCGACGGCGTTTATTTTACTGAAATGTTGTTCATGAGCTCATCAGAGAAGGTAAGGCAAACGTTTTCTGATGTCTGACCGAGAATGACGTGACATATTTTGTAAAATATTCAAACCCAACCAATGACGTTATATTCTTCATTGAATTGGTACAAGGTCAGGCTGTTCGCCAGCTGAACCCCGGCCTTCTCATACAGACTACTTTATTTAGTGTTTCAAGGTCTGACAAACTCGACATGAAACCAAACACTTGAGAGAGCGACATGAAACCAAATACTTGAGAGAGCGTCAGCCAGGTTCAACTGTCTTTTAACACGAGGAGGATCTTTTCAAATAGGACGTCATTATAATGTTACTGAACCACGAAAGGCTGCAATATGATAGGTGAGGTGTTGGCAGGTGCAACTGGAAAGGCAGGATAAGCTAACTCCTTTTGCGACCACATGCTAACATCACTAAGTTTTCGTGGCCCAGTCAAATAATTTTCAGAGCTATTTAATCATTTACGGTAAAACGTATCTGTTTAGAGAGATAGCCGAGACTTGGTGTACGCTCACATTTACAATTCATTGTTCTTTCCTCGCAGTAGTTTAAATGTCCCATTGAGTCAGCCTTTGTTGTCGTTATTATTGTTTCCAACCGGTTAGATCGTTATTACAGGAAAGAGACCCAGCAGCAGATCTCCATCTATATTGTCATTGTCATTGTCAGGACAAATGGGTAGGGGTGGGATTGTGCGCACACCTGACCCCCTACCCCCGGTACGCCTATGATCTGTACGTTCAAATTACCCATTTCCTACTATCTAACTTAAAATTGATTTCATCGTCTTCGAATGTACTTAAGTGAACTGAAACGGATTAGGTGCTCATGAATTAAAACTTTCAAAACCTCTCCTCTGGATACTCTTATGTATGAATATTAGAACAGTTATACTACCACCAAATGCATGACTTCAGCTAACTGAATGCTCAATAATCAAACATATTGTTGTACTGTATCCCTTTTTATAAAAACCCAAGTGTAACTAACCTGTAATTCACCAATTCAATCCCCGTCCACTAGTAACCTTTACGCCACCATGCGAGGTTGGGAGAAAGGCAGTATGTCTTTCCTGTTGCAGCTAATATCATCTTCCAATGAAAAATGTGTATCTTCAACCAATGGCAGCCAAGGAAAAGAAATAGACATGACATCATGTAAATTTCGCTATTTTGCATAAGAACTACTTTTGACCGATGCCCCAGTCTTGGCTATAAATGAATCATGGACTTGTGAAGAGATAAACTCCTCCAATGACAATGTTTAAGGTGTCAAAACTTAATTACAACAAGCAGCTGAAAATTACACATTAAAACATTATTTTCCAGACCTGTCTTCAACGTTTGTCAATAAATATGTACTCATAAAAATATCGAGAGGCAGAAGCTCTACTTTTGTAAAACATTTTAATGGTGATGGCACTTCATGCTCTGGTAACTTGTTACTTATAAGGTCGTTGGAAGCCCAATATATATCTTATTTCAAGCTTTACGATATCTACAATGTCTTATTATTCAGATTAAACCACAAATATATCATTCGAAGCGCGTCTTCACATTTCTCTGTTTCAGATATTATTCACGGCTGTAATGTTGCTCTCGCCTTCATTATCTATACAGACAGGTAATATTATTTGTGATAATAGCAGTCTGATGCCTAGTTACAAATAATGTGTTTCAGTTTCATTCATGAGGCACGGCTGTCAGTGTATTGGGCACCCGTGAAGATCCGGGTTAGAATTGGTCTTCAGTAACCCATGCTTGTCGTCAGAGGCGACTAACGGGATCGGGTGGTCAGGCTCGCTGACTTGGTTGACACATGTCATCGCATCCCAATTGATCTTTGATCATGATGTCAATCACTGGATTGTCTGGTCCAGATTATTTACAGACCGCCGCCATATAGCTGGAGTATTGCTGAGTGCCCCGTCCAACAACATACCAATAAAACCCAGTATGTTGGAAATGTTATTGAGGAAAGACAAACAGGATTTTAAGAATGCTTTTCACAATGAGTTGGTTCTTCCTCTACTTAACGTAGAATTGGTATTACCATATCTGTCTCGGTATTGAATACGTTATTATAGGGTAGAACATAACATACTAATTGATAGTAAATATGCTACACACAAGGGAATATGTTTAAATATTTTGAAAGTGGATATCTGTGCCAAGAGCTCACGCAAATATATATAAGACAATTATGTTGAACCACCATTAAACTGAAATGCAGTTGAAAACCAAACCCAGGCATACATTTTCAGCTACTGGTCTCCCTTTCTGGGTGTCTGTCGTCATAGTAGGACTGGTGGGGATCATCTACACTTCCATTGTAAGTACAATACATATACAATGTACCGGGGTGGGTGGGGTGGTGTGGGGTGGGGTGGGGTGGGGTTGGGGTTTGGGTAGCCTAATGGTTAAAGCGTCCGCTTCCCCACAGGGGTACAAAGTGTGAAGCCCATTTCTGGTGATATTGCTGGAATATTGCTAAAAGCTGCATAAAACCATACTCACTCACTCAAGGCATATGCCACGTATACAACGATGTTACACCCGCTTAGAGTTCGGGATAGATTTGGTCACAAGGCATTTCTGTTTGTCATGTGAACCGCCAGACCCCAACACCAGAGAGATAATATACTCTTCAGTTCTATGGTGTGAGGTCTGCAGGCAACAGGCTGCTGCTATTTGTTTACAAATGCAAAAGACGATTACTAAACAAAGACACAGCCGAGACTGACAACAAATGTAAGGTGGCTCATTAGGGCCACTGCTTTCTCGCCTTAAAATTCGGAGGCGAGAAAGCGATATCATGAGACGAGAGGATGGCTCTAATCAGCCACCATACAAATGCCATATGATCACGGATCACTGTCTGTGGTTCTAGTGTTGGGACTTATGTTGGGACTTGTACAATCAGTCTAATGCAAGGAAAAAACTAAAAAGTATGTACAATCTTTTTTTCTAAAATACATGATTCTTCTTATTCTTATTCGTCTGCGTATTATCATGCATGTTACAGATTAACATAATTACATCAAAGAGTGTAATGTACTGTTAGAGTGTTACGGTGAGCAGTATGTTACAGTCGCTACAGCTTGTTCAGCTTGACCTGGTCAAGTGAATACTAATGTATTGCGTGACCGTGTGACAACTGGTTGGGTCTATTATTGTGAAGGGGTGTACTTTTGTCAGCTGATTGTCAACATGTCCGAACAGCCGAGACGAGGTCGCCGTTTGACTTCTCAGTGTCGAGAAATCGTCAGCAATGTCCTAACTACTGGGACAGAAATATTGCAGTTGAACATAAAAAATAGAAAAAGTGATAATTGAACTGGGTGTAGAGAGTGATAGCGAGAGTGAATCGGATTGTGAAAGTAATTGATGCCTGTACTTTGTAAAGTTAGCAAACCAAAATTGATAGCATAATAAACAATATAAACAATTAAGTTAAAACATAAAATGATTGTTTTTTTTCAGAAGTGTTGTTTTCCGGGACAGGTTCTATAACGAATCCATGTATGCATGCTTCGCACGAACGCAACATTAATAACATTCTCTGCTCCCCTATTTAATGAAGTTAACGGGTCATGCATATTTAAAGTAGCTCAGGTCAAGCTGAACAAGCTGTATAATTGTATCCTGTTTGTAGGGAGGGATCCGGGGTGTTGTCGTGGCTGATGTATTTCAGACAGCTATCATCATCGTTGGTGTGATAGCTATTCTAGTCAAGGTAAGCCATTGTCCTGCAAAATACATACACTGACGGACAAAAGCAAGTTCCACTTGAAAACTGTAAGCGATGGAAAAATTAGAAACTTTCTGAATAATACTATGCTCAAAACGTTCTCCAAAATACTAAATCGTTAGGGTAAAAACATAATTGTGATAAATATTTACAAAACTGTTCTGCCTTTTGTGCTCAGTTGAGTCTGTTCCGTCGGATAGACTAAGTTTATTTCACTGCTTCGATACCTTACATGTCTCTGCATTGACCATTAACTATCTTTACACACATTTAATACAAACCCATTACATATAGTGTGCAGAGTATGAACAGCTACATGCGTCATAATTCGACTATCTTCTTAGTGTATTGGTGATACAGGCGGCTTGGAGAAATCGCTGGAGTTGGCCAAAGAGGGCGGAAGGATAACACCAGGCAAGTAAGTATCTTGTCACTTACATGGCGACACGGGCGACATTCATCTCTTGTCACTAATGTCTTGGTGAATCTGGCTTTTCATCTCCTCTCACCACTATACAGAAATAAAGGTCATGGTTTCAACTGTCTCTACTTTGTCTGCAGTTTTGACTTCGACCCTCGAGAACGTCATTCCTTCTGGGCGCTAGCTATAGGAGGGACCTTCACATTCTGCGCTTACTCATTCGACCAATCAGCGATTCAAAGGATTTGTGCTTTACCAACTATAACTAGGGCAAGGATGTAAGTTTCTCTAAATCGATTGTGTTTTACATTATGCTTGTGTCACTTGTAACTGGTATCGATGAGGTAGTCTGTCATTCGAATTCCAAATTTATTTTTACTTTTGCATCAAATAGATATTAAAAAAGGGACCCACTGGAAAAGGAAAATTTATATGCTTTGTGGATATGAATTTTACAAAATTATGTAAAATTGGAAATTTTGTAAGTATGTGCTTTACAAAAATTGCACATTTTAATTATTTTCTTGTGTCTTGCTCCATTGTTTGCGCAAGTAATATGTCATCAAGCAAGTCCCAAAGACTTACTGCCAGATCCAGTTAAGTCGCCAATTATAACTGTAGTGTTGTGCCAGGCCACAAGTGTGCAAGACACCTAGAGCAGAAAGTATTCTATGTAGAGAAGCTGCTTATGTTTGGCTTATCTTAATTGGAGTGAAGAGGACGTCTCTTTTAAGGTGTGTATTGACCATTTCATGACACTAAAATGGTGTAGACAAAAATCTGAAGTAAAGTCATAATAACATACATGATACGCATTAGTGTCATGCATGTGATGTTCGCGGCATTAAAAATCTCTACTATCGAAGAAAAGGCAAGATGACATTAGAAGATCATGTCGCCGGCATCTAAACGTGCACTACTGGCAATTATATATATTTTGAACAGGTATAGGTTGTGTGACTGTTTTTGTTTACAGACCGCCGCCATACAGCTGGGATATTGTTGAATGCGGCGTTGAACAAAAATTAATCAATCAATGTTGAATATGATGTCATCAGATAGTATGAAAGTAACGGGATATTTCGCGTCTGCCCCGCAGGACTGATTCGCTTGACAACGGTACAAGAATCTGTATCGAAACGTCGCACTCACGAATAAAAAGAAGTTGTTATCCATAAAGTTTGTTCTATATTGATTCGCTGTAACCTATTGCACCATACTCTCGTGGTTTAAGGAGCCTCATTAATGTTTCATAGACTTATAGTATGATGTTTGGCCAGGTAGGCGGTTCTGTCGATGTCCTCCTCTTTGAAGGTATATATTATTATCAATTGTAACACTATGGTTGGAGGCTGTGTAGACAAGCAGGCTTGGTTCCCATGGAAGACACAATTCGGTCAGAGCTGGTCAAGAGCTTGTGATGTTTATGGCAAATTGACCAGATAAGGACATGATGGTAAAGGTCGCCACTAATGACTGACTAATTGAGAAGAGACGTCCGAAGAACAACTCTGGTTATACCTGGTCAGAGCCATTCTCTTCCCACAGAATTTACTCCGGTCATATCTTCCTACGTAACCTCTGTTCTAATATGGCCCTTTCATGGTGTGAGCGTTCAAGACTCGTGATTGGAGGCAATCAGATTTAGTTGTGCAGTCAGCGACGTTGTTTCAAAAGTGATCATTCGCAAGGCCTCGGTAATTTCCGTATGCTTCGAGAAAACTAAACTTCTTCCCCTGCGCGATGCGCAAACGTTTCTTCTAGACAGAACTCAGTCATGTTATGGCGGATCAGTGGCGTCTCCATCGCCCTCGTTGACAACGGACAAGCTAGCCATTAAACGTCTTGTGTGTAACATCAACACAAGTCCCCGGCAGATGGGGGGTATTTGTGGCCCCACATTTGCTTGTGTTAGTCAAGTTGAATCTAAGTCGATGTAACAAGTGTTCTGATTGGATAGAAAGAAGGGAGATAATTCGTCTTGCGATCTTTTGCCGCTAGGGGATTTTACGAGAACCGGGAAATATGGCCGTATTAGAACAGAGGTTCGTAGGAAGATATGACAAGTAACCTCTGTGGGAAGAGAATGGGTCAGAGCCTGGGAAGTGCCTAGCCTCTTTCAGTGTCTCCACCACACCCTGTTTGTTGTCACTTTTGACTGTTATAGATATAACGTCGTAATTAAAGAACACTGTTAAAACCTTTCATCCTTCGTTGTGTTATCGTGCTACACAATTCCAGCATTTTTCAGTGTTCATCCACGCCTCTTTGTCCTCTGTCATTTTATGTGTGCCTTGCTAAACATCCAATAATGTTCCATATCAATAAAAATTATATGGAGCTTGTCCTTTTAGCAAATACTCGGTGTAATCACATTTTCGGTAATCCTTTCGTTTCATATGTTACTTTTGTTACGTTTATTGTACTCTGGTCAGGCAGATGATAGAGGATGATTAGGACATTACAATCGTACTGCATTCTACTGCACAGAAATGACAAGTAGCCCATGGATATTTTACCCACAGCGCGTACATAGGCAACATGCTTCTGGTTGCCGTCTACATAACCTGTGTGTGCTTCATGGGTGTACTGGCCTACAGCTACTTTGCTGCCACAGGGTGTGACCCCTTCAAGGCTGGTATCCTCACCAACAGAAACCAGGTAAGGGTTTTATGATACAAGTGTTTACTACTGACGTGTAGCTGCTAGAGAACTTTATGCAGAAAGCAAGGTTATGCTTCAGAATATACATTCTTGTGCATATATGTGTACAGTAACACGAATAATCAAAGCAGTTGTTTGAAATATGGACATTTCAAACATTGTTCTTCATTTCTCTCTCAGAATAACCAACCTACAAAAAGCGCGAAATAACCGATTATCTGTCCGTCGTGAATGACAATTGTAGTCCAATGTTAAAGCCTTTGGATTTGCACCAACAGTTCTTCAGGGACACTTTGTTGATTCGTAACTTACTACCATATTTCAGCTGATGCCCTTCGTTGTGCTGGAATTGTTTAAAGATCTGCCAGGCATGCCTGGCTTGTACCTGGCCACGATATTCAGCGCTGCACTGAGGTACGTCCTGCAGGAACACATATAACTGTTTAATGTGAAAGTTCAGCACAAGATCAGGTTTATGTTATGGTACAAAATGAAATCCGTATTAGAAAACTCTAGTAAAAGTTATATCCGTGTACTGCAATGCCAGGCGGTAAGAAATGTATAATAAACAGTAAAGAAACTACACATCTACACAATGTTTACGTTTTAACTGAAAATCCCTGGCAATATTACATCTGTAATAGCACCAATATCTGTTTGTGGTTTATTTAGCACCTTATCGTCTGTTACCAATGGTCTTGCCGCAAACACTGTTGAGGACATTCTGAAGTGGCCTTTTGAGCGGTGCAAAACCAAGGAGTCTGTGAAATTGTTTGTTGCAAAAGTAGCAGGTATGATTTGTCAAACCGCAAACCGTCAACCAGCTTACACTATGTATGAACAAGCATCATACCCAAACCGCATTCTGGTCATTAATCCGTTTTGACATCAGTACTTCTGTATTAATAAAATCAAATATTTGTTATCTGTTGAGCATACTCCACAAGGCTTCTACTTAATCTACTACACTCTATGATTACTGGAATGTGATGTTTTATACTTGTATATTGCAGTGTGGTTTTATGGCGGTTTGTGTATTGGCTTGGCTTTCCTGGCGCGGACCTTACCTGGAACCTTGATTCAGGTGAATTTTGTAAAAGTGATTTTCAAACTCGGTCAAGAATATATAGTATCAAACAATTATGGTCCACCGTCCTGAATTATCTAATTTTGACGTTTTGTTTTCACAAATCCTCATGTAAAACAAGCGTGTCATATAAACAGTGATAGGTATTGTTGATTGTTTACTGATTAAAATTTTAGTTGAAATTTTGTTGTGTTTATTTAGAATCAGGAAATGATAGTTATACCAAATGTATGCTTAAATTATTCTAATTATGTTAAAACAAGTTGGATCATCTCTCATTATACTAGTATGCAAACGTTTGTCGTTTTGCAAGACTATCAAATTGTGCTTTTACACGTTATCGCTGACAGTATCGATCAGGCCCTAGATTGGACTATATCGCTGACGGTATCGATCAGGCTCTAGATTGGACTATATCGCTGACGGTATCGATCAGGCACTAGATTGGACTATATCGCTGACGGAGATGTTGAACAATAAACAATAAAACAGCCAAATACATGGAGCGGAATGTTCCCTATACAGATGGATATCAAAATTAAGTGATATAGCGGATATCCTATCAGTTATCGACCCCGTGAAGATGCAGGCTAGAATTGGTTTTCAATCCCATGTATATGTACAGCTATCGGGATCGGGTGGTCAGACTGACCTCGTTGATGCATGTCCCAGTCGTGTGGAATGATGTTCATGACGTCAGTCACTGGATTGTCTGGTTATTTACAGAGCGCCGACATACTGCTGGAATATTGCCAATTGCGACGTTAACAAACAAAAAGCAAATCAACTATTAACTATTAGCAGCTAATGTTTGTCAGTTCGGGGGCACAAGATTTACTCTTTGAGCCACATCAAGATTTCTCTTTAATTTTTCAGCTCACATTGGGCTTCCTTGGAGCTTGTGGTGGTCCGGTACTGGGTGTGTTCTCACTAGGGGCGTTAATACCGTGGACAAATAAGATTGTAAGTAATATCTTCAAAATTAAACCATGAAGCAGTCCTTATCATTTCAGTTTTAAGTGAAAACTTGAAACTGCCTTGGACAATCAAAGTCGTAAGACATACGTGACTTTTAATGACGTACGATGAAAAAGATAACGGCTTGTAAGTTACTGAGAAATGAGACTAAATTTACGAATCTGTACTTTACTGAGAAAGTGAAATCCGAGACATAATCTGTTACATTTGATCACTTTCTATATGGCATTGTGTATTCATAGCGATAGATAGATACAGGATCATATGTTGTATATATAATGTTTTGGTAATGTTGTTGAAATGTGTACCAACGAGGTGCAGACGTTTGGATATATGCAACACCGACATACATGTTAATTATGCTTTCGTTTAATTTTTGGACAACTGTACATGACTTTGTTTTTGCTCCATCTATCACAGTATCATATATAAATGTTCTGTCACTAAGATGTCTATCATCCACTTATCCCATGCCGCACAATGCCTTTTCCTGGTTCAGGGAGCCTTATCAGGACTGGTCGCCTCGCTTGTAGTGAACATGTGGCTAAGCATCGGAGCAGCGTTATATGGGTTAAAACCTATACCCCTTCCCCCAGCACCTGGCAACTCCTGTGACGTTCTCTATCCGACCAACGTGAACGACCTAAACATCTCCACAACCTCTCCAACAGTGCTGAATGTGGCATCAACGACGGTATCGTCCAGGTACCCGTTTTCCAAAGCATCGCGGTTTTCATAGTGTATAATATTACTATAATAAGAACTACAATTTAGATTTCTATTCAGCACATCCAAAACATGTAAAACGCATCATTTAGACGATTATATCAGTATTGACACTGCGTTGCTGAAAATAATTACCTAGTTAAACCTTGCAGCAACGTTATTCCCGAGGACGGACATCCATTTTACGACATCTCCTACCAATACTACGGTTTTACGGGGTGGCTTGCTGCCTTCGTCGTTGGACTGCTGATCAGCCTCGTAACGTGTAAGTCGCCGGGTAGCTTGATTAACTTTAACAGTAACTGTTTTGGAGCTGTTTTAACTATACGTGTGATCCTTCATCTGGTTTGTTTGGTTTATTGTTTAACACCGCACTCAGCAATATGCCAGCTATATGGGGGCGGTCTGTAAATGATCAAATCTGGACCAGATAATCCATGATCACCGATCATCCAGGTCAGCGAGCCTGACCACCCGATCCCGTTATAGTCGCCTCTTAGGAGATGCACAGATTGACGAAGACCAATTTTAACACGAACCTTCACGGGCCCTTATTCTGGTTGTGTTACAGATAGAATGTACCCTCCAATCACAGACGAAAGGCTACTGATTCCAATTGCCCGACTAATTTGGAACTTCGTGAGAAATCAAGACTCTCATGAGGTAAGTATTCAAGTGCTCAAATCTTATAACTGAATTCATAATTATATATTTCACCAATAATTCGCATTTATCCAGTGGAACCGAGATTGCCTATTCCCTGGCGTTTACGTGACTTACTTGTGTTTTACACTCCTAGAAACCCACCCATCCGATAGTAGATAATCATATTCCAGCTATATGATGGTAGCCTGTTAATAGTAGGATATCCAGATAATCTATAGACTGACATGAGCATCGATCAGCGCAGTTGGGATGCATTGAACTGTATCAACCGTGAATCCGTTAGTCGAATCTTGCGAGAAAGCATGTGAAACTGAAGATCAGTTCAATCCTGAATCTTCACGGGTTAGTTTGGGGTGTATACTACCGGGGAGTTGGGAATGCTAAAGGGATAGGATATGGGTCCGTACTACTCAGTAATTGATGATGCGGTTCTTATCATTTCTTATAATAATATTAAATATTTCATGTTTGTTTCATTCTTTAACGCCGCACTCAGCAATATTCCACGTATATATTCCAGCTTTTCAAGATTGTAATTAATCGAGCCTGAACAAGAAAACAGGATGACTATCGATCTATTGGGAAACGATGACACGTGTCAACCAAGTCAGCGAACCTGACCACCCGATCCACTTAGTCGCCCATTGTGACACGCATGGGATCTTCACGGGCTAAATATTGCATGTAAACAGCTGTGTTCAAAAGGACAGCTTTAACGTCTAAATCATTCTGACAGAATGGAAACTCCCCTGATCCAAAAGGCAATAGATTACATGTTTTGTTTTCCTCAATGCGCAAGGCGTCATGACTGCTGCAACAAAGCCTTATATTTTCAGGAGGGGAAAGAGAAACCCGCCACTCAGCAATACCCCTCTCATACTTCTTCCATGCCGCCAAAGCCGGAAAGCCAACCTGATAGGAAGGATGGCCATGTATGGAGCATTAGATTATGATGGGGTTTACATTGTAAAAGGAATGGTGAAAGTATACACATTTGATGGTGACCAAGATGCAAAATATGCTTATACAACGTTGATCCATTGATATTATAGTTGTGCTTTGAACCTAAAGTTTGCAATGTGTACGCCGCTGTTGATAGCCTTGTAAACTTTACATAATGCTTATAGCTGTTTGATAAAATCGAGTTTCCAACTTGATACTTTCTTTTGGTTATTCGCTTAGAATTATTTGTGTTTGACACATAACTGCCTACCTTCGACACATGACTACCAGCCCTGCACACATGACTAACTTCTACCTGAGAATATTCGACAAATATTTGTGATGCACTGTCCTCTTGTTTGACTTGATCATCACAAAACCAGTCCTCAACAACATTCTTTAGATAGGCTATCTTATCATGGTGAACTACTGCTTCTTTTCTCATATCTTCATCTCTCTCTTCTTCAAATAAGAGTTTCGCATATTCATCTCTTTCCTGGAAACATCCATCCCACAGTGATAAACATTCTGAATATGATTTTCTCAAAGTTTATCTGTCTGGGCTTTCTGTCACTAATGCTATAACACTGTTCTATTCTTCTCAACCATGACTTCAAATTTTGTGGGGTGGCCGGGTAGCCTAGTGGTTAAAGCGTTTGCTCGTCACGCCGAAGACCCGGGTTCGATTCCCCACATGGGTGCAACGTGTGAAGCCCATTTCTGGTGTCCTCCGCCCCGATATTGCTGGAATATTGCTAAAAGCGGCGTAAAACCATACTCATTCATTCAAATTTCGTTGTTTTATTTCCTGGTTGTAGACACGTCCTTTTTCTGTTAATTCTCAAGTTCTCTTTCCACCGTCTTCGCTCACAAATTCTGAAGCTAAACCTTCCTTTAACATTTTCTTTCTTACTCTAAGCACTGGCTGAAGGTCAATGGCGGAAAGTGTTGACTCAATGGCTGAAAATGTCAATAATTCAATTTACATTGTAATTTGTATAGGCTACATTCTGCTCCACGTCTGATATAAAGTCAATTCATCTGTCCTTTCGTTTGTTCCTTCATTCATCCGGTTCTACATTCACGTTCTGAATACATCCTATAGCTTGATATACTTTCTGTGACGAAGACGAAGAAGATTGACTGCAACAGAATAAAAGTTGCAGTAAATATACTGTTTACAAATGTTGCTTATCGTAATATGAGAAAAAAATGTACATGTATATGTTCAGAAATTAAAGTGGTTACATATCATGTTTTACCACCTCAACACATCGGGTGTTCCATAAACATTCTTCACCGCAGGCGACAATGCAGTCTTCATGGTTGGTTGGTTTTATAGGTTTAGGGCGACGTGGGCCAGTAAGAGGCCTATTTGCGCCCAACACATTGAATTGACTTAACATAAAAGAAACGACAACACTATTAATATTCATTTGGATAGACGTATACATATACCGAATAACCTCTGCTTCGTGTTACGGATTAAAAACCTTAAGTGATCACTTCCATTTCTGAAACATGAAATACACACTGAATCAGAGTGCCCTCCCTTGGTCGCTGAAAATTTGCATAATGCGCTCAAAAAATATTTACTGGTCATTTTGGCCTCCACATTTAGGGTCATTCTCTTCCAACAGAGGTTACTTGTCATATCTTCCTACGAACCTCTGTTCTAATACGGCCATATTTCACAGTGCTCGTAAAATCTCCTAGCGGCGAAAATATCGCAACACGAATAATCTCCCTTCTTTCTATCCAATCAGAACACGTGTTACATCGACTTAGATCCAACTTGACTAATGCAAGTAATAATGGGGCCACAAATATCCCTCTTCTCCGCCGGGCACTTGTGTTGATGTGACACTCAAGATATTTAATGGCAAGGTTGTCCGTTGTCAACGAGGGCTATGGAGAAGCCATTGATCCGGCATTTACATGACTGAGTTCTGTCTAGAAGAAAAGTTTGCGCATCGCGCAGGGGAAGAGGTTCTAGTTTTCCCGAAGCATACGGAAATTACCGAGGCCTTGCGAATGATCACCTTTGAAACAACGTCGCTGATTGCACGACTAAATCTGATTGCAACCAATCACAACCAAACACTCGCACCATGAAAGGGCCGTATTAGAGGTTCGTAGGAAGATATGACAAGTAACCTCTGTGGGAAGAGAATTAGGGTATGTTTATACTAAACAAAGACTTTGTTATACTTACGAGTTAGGTACTAGATGAAACCAAGCTCACAGGCATGTTAGGGGACAACCATGTTGAACATCAACTGTTGCGAAAATATGTGTTTTATGTACGAGTATTTGACAGATTCTGTCTTCGAATGTGTATACAACTACATGTTTGAATTCTCAAACCAAGAAAGAAATGTGGAATTGTGTTAATTCATTTTCGCTTCAAGAACACAATGTTTTATTTTCAGGTAGACATTGATGACTACATTAGTGAAGAAATGAGTGCGTGAATACATGAATCTTAACAGTGTACATGGCCAGTACACAAATTATGACAAGTTCTTTAGTTTGCGTATTTAAAGGCACAATGTCACACATTTTCGACAATATTTTAACCTATATTATGCATATTGGGGCATATGAAGTAATGTTCGGCTGGTAGAGGGCGCGAGAGTCGATTTAATGCAAAGTTGCATTAATTCATTCGAACTTTTTTAATTTAATATTGTAATTTAGATACGTAATTTTGTTTGGAATAAATTATATGGTAGCTTCCTTGAGGGCTAATAGTATTATTGAGAGAAATGCATTAGTGTATTTTTAGAACATTGTGCCTTAAACTAAAGTACGCGTAGTACTGATAAAATATACATTATTCCGGCTGATGTAAGCTGTTTTAATGTTTCGAAAGCGAAACGTACAATTGGTACACTGAAATGGTATAACAAGGCTGCAGTAGAAGACGGTCTTCAGACAACATGTGTGAGTAGTCTTTTACGCCGCTTGCAGCAATATTCCAACAATTGCATAGCTCGACACAACCGTGGCATTTACAGATGTTGGGATTTGAACGTCTGTAGCCAAATAACCATTGAGCTACCCAAACGGTCCCTTACTAACAAGTACATTATGCAGTAAGAAATATACTCAATAGGCAGCACGTCCATACCGATATTTTTATGATAGCAAGAAGTTATATACTGATAACAGAAGAGCTAGGTAACGATGTGTGATTTCAAGTGGCACGTAAACCAAACGAAAAAAATATTTATTTATTTAAGGTGTACAAATTATACACACTCATGCACGTAATTTTGCATTTGATTGTTTAACCAAATGATGGCCACCCCAATTAAGTGATTACTGAGTCCGGGTCTGTGGGGTAACCATTGTCTGAATTGGTTAATGAGACTCATGTTTCGGTTTTAAGTATAGAAATAAATACGCGGACAATGACAACTTTACAGGTTGTTTATTTGTTTAGTAACGCACAAGAAATTATAATAAAACATTGTTCAGTGCATTACAGCAGCAAAAGTCCCGCCTATACCAATACCGGATTCAGGAAAGTCAGGAATCAGTAATATGTGAGTGAGTATTGTTTTACACCGCGTTTAGCAAAATTCCAGCAATATCACGGCGGGGGACACCAGAAATGGGCTTCACACATTGTACCCTTGTGGGAAATCGAACCCTGGAATTCAGCGTGACAGGCGGACGCCTTAACTATCAGGCTACTCCACCGCCCCTATCAGGCTACCCCACCCACAGACAACCCATTGGTTGACTACATATGGAACCAGCAACACAGTCGGTACACCTTCATATTGAGCCAGGTAATCCATTGTGTCCCATCGATAGTCAGATCAAGTGACATCTTCCTGGGGATTGTAGGAGATGAAATATGTCGTTATGTCAGCTCATAGTTTTATCCACATTTCTGCCAAGTGCAAGTTATACCACTGGATACGATGCCTGCTTTCGCCCCAAATGTATGACCACGTTAATAGCTTTCTGTGAAGGAGTGTCGGGCGGCTAGGTAAACCGTTAAAAAGCATTTAAAACATAAAATATTCTCAACATAGTTTATCGAGGAATTAACGATAGATTGACTTCTGTCAACCAGCTGGTGCCCCAGAAAACGTCAGGCACAATGCGACCGTTTAAATCCAATGTCTATCACCTCATCATGCCCACCTGTAAGAAACCTCTTTGTTTAACACCTGATCTCTACACAAACTTGTAACTAGCACCTAACTGATCTCCCGAACCTACGACCTGTAAGTCACGATCTCCCGAACTACACAAACTTGTTTAACAACTCTCCCGAACTACCACTAACACCTGTCTCCCGAACTACACAAACTTGTTTAACAACTGATCTCCCGAACTCCAAACTTGTTTAACAACTGATCTCCCGAACTACAAAACTTGTTTTGTTTAACAACCTGATCTACAAGCACGTGTCTGAAACATGATCTCCCGAACTACACAAACTTGTTTAACAACTGATCTCCCGAACTACACAAACTTGTTTAACAACTGATCTCCCGAACTACAAACACTTGTTTAACACCTGATCTCCCGAACTACACAAACACTTGTTTAACACCTGATCTCCCGAACTACACAAACGTGTCTAACACCTGATCTCCCGAACTACACAAACTTGTTTAACAACTGATCTCATGAGAACTACACAAACTTGTTTAACAACTTGTCCCGAACAACACAAACACCTGATCTCTACAAACCTTGAACTGATTTTACACACACGTGTCACACCTGTGTGATCTCTCGAACTACACAAACTTGTTTAACACCTGATCTCCCGAACTACACAAACTTGTTTAACAACTGATCTCTAGAACTACAAACACTTGTTAAACACCTGATCTCCCGAACTGCACACACGTGTCTAACACCTGATCTCCCGAAGTACACACGTGCCTAACACCTGATCTCCCTAACTACACACACTTGTTTAACACCTGATCTCCCGAACTACAAACACGTGTGTTACCCCTGATCTCCAGAACTAGAAACACTTGTTTAACACCTGATCTCTCGAACTGCAAACACGTGTCTAACACCTGATCTCCATACATATATGTGACTAACATTTCATATCCGCTACTGAACACTTTCATCTCCTTCATTACATACACTTGAGTGACGCCCATCTGCACACATGAGGCGAACACCTCTTCTCTTTGTAGGGACAATGGGGTAGCCTAGTGGTTAAAGCGTTCGCTCGTCATGTCCATACACGCAGGATGACGTCAAACACGCCAGTCAAAATGGTCTCTAAGCAAAATATCAAATATATTTACCCGTGTATTATTATTGATATGTTTCAAGATTAATATTTCCAAAAGAACCACACCTCTTACTCTGTCAAACAACTGATCGTAAGTCCAATACCCATCATATTTCCGCCTAGCGTTCAACTTTACAACGTGTCATCAGACATGACGGCAATACTGAACAGCATTAGTCAGTGCAAATGTACAAAGCCTATTTCTAACTACCCATCGCCCCCACTGCAGGAATGAACTGACTCCAATCCAATCACATCAGTCAAGATGGTACAACCCTACTTCATAAAGAATTAGAATCCAATTCAATCACATAATTCAAGATGGCCACCTCGTCGACATTGTCAGTGTACGACTATATCGTAATTGCCTCAACGCTGGCTGTGCCGTTGGCTATAGGTGTCTATGTGGCAGTACGAGGAAGGCAGAATAATACCAAAGAGGAATATCTTCTTGGAGGGAGGCGTCTTCATGTGTTTCCTGTCACGTTGTCGCTGTTCGTGACGTTCATGTCATCGACGTCGCTCATTGGAATGCCGGCAGAGACGTTCACGACGGGGTCGGATTTCACTTTCCTTGCTGCAGGAATGATGTTGTGTTACCTTGTCACCATTTTCACAGTTGTTCCCGTCATGCACACTCTCCAGGTCACCAGCATGTATGAGGTGAGTAATGGTCTTCCTCGAAGAGTCGGGTTAGAATTGACCTTCGGTAACCCATGCTTGTCGTAAGTATAAAGTGTCATAAATACGTCATGAATTCATGTTCGTACAATTTCAAAATGCCTTTCAAGAACGTCAGCTAAAATGTTAATCGAATTGGTTTACTCGTTTGCTGGAGATTTATCTGCTTATTCATGCAGTTTGTTTTAAGTGGAAACTGTGGAGTCCTGACTTGCTGGGTCATCCTCATCTCACTCTTTAGATATATGTTTTCGAGTCTTGGTGACTTGAGGTATTCGTAATACTTTTTTCTGGTTTCAGGCATTTAAAGTGGGATGACCAGTAAACATTTGCTTGTTTGTTTTTTAAAGCCGCACTTTTCCAGCTATATGACGTCGGTCTGTAAATAATCGCTCCTTGATCAAACAATCCAGTGATCATCAGCATCGATCCACGCAATTGGGATACGATGACATGTGTCAGCCAAGTCAGCGAGCCTGACCACCCGATCCCGTTAGTCGCCTCTTACGACAAGCATGGTTACTGAAGATCAATTCTAAACCGGATCTTCAAGGGTCTAATCCGTTACTAGATGACCAAGTAGCGCAAACAAGAATACGTAATTACACCGGAAACAAGTGACAGAAACACGTGTCACGCTGGGCAAGCAACTTCCTTTGTGCCTTAGTTCACCTATGGAAAAGTTCCCGAGAGACTGATGTAAAACCTTCTTCAAATTGTGTCCTCCCAACGCGTTGTTGATATTTTTCACCAAAAGTTTTAAAACCATCAGTGTCCGACAGTAGCTATGTATGCATTGAAGTTTTAAAGTTTGATAGACATCGACAGTAATTTTGACAGTCGTTGTCAGTTACAGAGAGCTTGTAGAAGTACCTTTCACTCATGAATGAATGATATATGATTGTGTTTCTCTGCAGTACTTCCAGCTTCGTTTTGGGTCCCCCACCCTGCGCCTCTTGGTTACTCTGGTCGGTATGGTTCAGAAGGTGAGGCGAAATCTTCGGGGTTCTTCTCCTCACTCAAGTCCGGGCACCTGCTTAGTAGTGGTGGTCCGATTAATTGAAATAATCGAAGATTGGTCGCAGTGACTAAACGACCAAGCAATCGATCATGTTTTCTCATAATCGAACACAAACAATTTTGGAACACTTGTTTTCATAAACAATATTTTCACAAGGTTGGTTTTGTCTGTTACATTTCATAAGCACTACAAGCTCGTTTCAAGTCATGATTGAATTTATCTTAAAGACTCCATGAAATTTATGTTCCGGACATACTAGTCATCCTTTAAAGATGTGAAATTTTGCCAAAACACCCAAAAGAACGTTACTACATGTTTATTCCTTATTTGTATGTGCATTAACACATTTCATTAATGACGCTAACCAATTTTTTTCGATGATTGATCGGTTGTAAAAAACGAATCATCAATTATGAGGTTTTAACCAATTCCCAACACTACTGCTTAGGGGCCTACTTATGTTGGACTTAGTCATGTATACAGATGACGAGAAGTGTAATGTGTATGGCAATATTTAGAGGAGTTTTTTTCTATATTCTTGTTTATCATCATTTGAAATAATGAATATATTCGTATACATCTGATACTCTAATTGGTACAATTAAATCACCCGAATCCGCAGATAAAGTTACAGGCATGCCTGTATCTTCACATGCGTGGTTTCTTACATACATCATGTAGATATCTTACTCATAAAATATCAAGATATCGACATGTTTCTCATCTACCAAACGGCCTCAATATTGTAAAACACAAAGTTCGCTCTCATCCTGATCTGCGTTCAAGCATTAGAATAATGTATGCTTGTAAATAGATATTTTCGCTTAGTATGTAATGGGCATATCTGCTTGTCACGTTCATTGGGCTTCAAGATACGCAAACACACGTTTCAGCTGTTATAACAATCAAACAAAGCCAAGGGACCACATTTTCCCTTAATTAACAAATCACCTTGTAAATAGCAATACGCACTGAAACTAATGCATATATAGATGAGGACACGTTCAAATTGACACGCGTTAACAAAATGACAAAGTATCACTCGTGACAATTCATGATTTAGCATTTTGGACTTTCCTTGTTGCAGATCATGTTAGCCGCCATCGTGCTACTCTCACCGGCACTGTCGATACAGACAGGTAAATTGCGTTAGGGAACGTACTACTCAAACTTTGATAGGGACAATGAAATATCAAAATATTTATGGTGATGTACATCATCACATAAATATAAGGAACAAAAGGTTCCATATCCATAAGAAACCTTTGCCTATACCAGAATCGATTATACATTTCCGAATATATCATGTGCATGCGCTTGCTTTCATTATGAGATAGTGATGATACAGGTTGCACGGAAAGGTGAGCGTATCCTGCTCTACCGGTGTCTCCCGTACTGTGCCGATGCTAAGGCTGTTCAACTGTTTACCGAAAACACCTAAATCCTTGAACAAGGATACAAGTTAAAATAGGGAATTGCATTGGACATAATTTTTGTAACTGGAACGACAATTTTGGAAATATCCTCTACAAATCTACCAAGCTATTTCTCATCTGGAGTGTTGTAACCTTGCTCGAACAACTCCTGAGCAAGATTCCTATAACGCTCTGATGAGCTGTTCTAAATATACTGAAGGAAACAAATAAGGGAACACTACTGCCACAGTGTTCCTCTATATTTTACCAGATTTTCACTCACAATGCAACACAAGGCTTGTGAAGAAACCTGGAAAAGAATAAAGGAACGTCTGTACTTTCATGTGTTTCCTTGTTTATTTCTCTCAGTATACTAGTACAGTAAACTACGTTTATTACGAACACGCTTCTAACGACGTGATGGACACAACGAACTGTGTTTGTTGTTGTCTTGGTCAGTTTCAAGTCTATGTGTATAATAGCTGCGGTTTTAACGAACTAATATTAGTAGTCATTTGGAGGACGCTATAACTAGTTTACTATACATGTATATGTGTTTTCTAGTTTTATGCTTGTGTATATCTTTCAGCTACTGGTCTCCCGTTCTGGGTGTCAGTTGTTATAGTTGGACTGGTGGGGATAATATACACCTCCATTGTAAGTATAAACCACTAGCAACAATGTCACCCCATTCGAACCTTGGCAACACTTTCATACGAAGACGCAGAACCCGACTTGTTGTTCATTCTGTCAACCCCTGGTTTGTCAGGCACGGATTCTGGGCGGTGGGGTAGCCTAGTGGTAAAAGCGTTGGCTCGTCACGCCGAAGACCCGGGTTCGAATCCCCACATGGGTACAATGTGTGAAGCCCATTTCTGGTGTCCCCCGCCGTGATGTTGCTGGAATATTGCTTAAAGCGGCGTAAAACCAAACTCAGTCAGTCAGTCAGTCAGGCACGGATTCGATTATTTACAGCCTGGTAATGAAGGCATGGGTTGGTCTTTAAACAAAATAAATATATTTAATATCTAAAAATATAATGACTGTCTATATATCTCTTATGCGACGTCTCTTTCATCGTCCGACATTGTGAAATGGTCACAATGAAGTGAATGTACGGATGCAACATGGACGTTCTGAACATGTTATGATGTTGTGGGTCGGGTATTCGGAAGGCAGCTCGACTCCGTCTGGACGATCTAACAATTTGAACGAGTTAATACAGTAGATTGAGGACAATTTCATGGATATACAACTTCTTTATTCTGTATAGGCGACGTTTCGAAATAGATTCTAGTGTCGTTGTCAAGCAAGTGGGCAACAAAGGTCCATGAGCCTCGATGAGTAACGACCCGTGAAGATCCGGGGTAGAATAGCTCTTCAGCAACCCATGCTTACCACAAAAAGCGACTATGCTTGTCGTAAGAGGCGACTAACGGGATCGGGTGGTCAGGCTCGCTGGCTTGGTTGACACATGTCATCGGTTCCCAATTGTGCAGATCGATGCTCATGCTGTTGATCACTGGATTGTCTGGTCCAGACTCGCCATATAGCTGGAATATTGCTGAGTGCGGCGTAAAAATAAACTCACTCTCTCACTCATCTATTTCAGGGCGGCATCCGAAGTGTAGTCTTGGCTGATGTCTTTCAAGCTGTATTCATCATAGTGGGTGTGATTTGTGTTCTGGTAAAGGTAGGCCACGCATTCTATGTCAGCTCCAGGCTGCTGATTTGGACGATGTGTCCCTGTGGTATGCTATTCATTTCAAAGTTAGGCGATGGATGTCCCCTTAAAACAATTGGTTGGTTTGTTATTTGATATTCCAGCTGTATGGCGGCGGTCTGTATATAATCGCGAGTGTGGACCAGACAATACAGTGATCAACATCATGAGTTTCGATCTACACAATTGGGATACGATGACACGTGTCAACCAAGTCAGCGAGCCTGGCCACCCGATGTCCGCCTCTTACGACAAGCATGGATTGCTGAAAACCAATTTTAACCCGGATCTTCACGGGTCCGGAAACACTTCAAATTCAGTCATGTGTGCTTGAGTGTATCTTCATAAACAGGGGCAGTGGGGTAGCCTAGTGGTTAAAGCGTTCGCTCGTCACGCTGAAGACCCGGGTTCGATTCCCCACATGGGTGCAATGTGTGAAACCCATTCCTGGTGTTCCCCGCCGTGATATTACTGGAATATTGCTAAAAGCGGCGTAAACCTACACTCACTCACTCACTCTGCATAAACAACCGCGGATATATTTGTTGCGTCATCTTATTTCGTTTCTTTAGTGATACATAACGTATATATATGTCTGTGACAAATATAAAGTCTCAAATTTTGTTGTTATTGTTCCCTGCCCTAAAGCCGGGGAAGTATTGTTTGAGTATCTGTTTCACTGATGTTCAGCGCCATTTTGGTTTGTCTATATATTGGGGTGTGTAAAATGAAATGACAGCCATATTTAACATTCGTGCAGTCAGTAACCGACACAGGGACTCGTCTCGTGTGTCGATACAAATCTAAGACATCTAGTTGCTGTGTAATGGCCGAGGCTATGCATAAAGCGGTCCTGATTACTGAAATCACCTGGTAGATGTACGTAACCATCCTGGTGGGTGAGAGACCTCCCACACAGGTTGATAGTCGTAATTACAATACCTGAATGATAATGAATGGTTACGAATGACAGTCAATGCAATGAAAGAATAGTTTTGCTCTAAAGTGTCAAAACGGCAAAACATCATTGCATTTTACATTTGGTTTCTTAAGTAATATATTACGTATAAATATGTCTCTGACCATCGCAGAGACTCAAATTTAGTTTTTATTGTTCCCTACCCTGAAGGCGGGAAAGTATTTGGTGAGTTGGCGTCCCAGAGATATTCAGCGCCATTTTGGTTTGTCTAAAACTTGGAGTGTGTAAATTGCAGTGTGTCATTTCATCTGCACATTTAACCCATTGTCAGTCACAATGTGCGACGAACTGAAATTCCTTAATAAAATATATGACCTGTTTCGTGATTTTATTTTATTATGAAAACTTAAACAACTCAGGGTTACATGGCTCAGCTTTTCTTATTTTGTATATCAGATGTTTTTAGCGGGAGACATCTGATGTACTGTATATTATATAATTTGTTTTACTTACGTTCAGTATTACTTGATTCATCTGTGAGAAGATACACCTTTCATTGTGCTTATGTCTCAACAGATTGGACAAAGGATATGTTCCAGCACAACGGAATAATTACGTTAAACCAGTAATATTAGGGAGTAGAGATACAAGTAGCATGTGGATCTGTGTAAAAACATATAGATTGTTCTATCTGTGCAGACAGTTGATGGTGCAGGTGGTTTGGAAGCAACTTGGGAGTTGGCGAATGAAGGTGGAAGGATAGCTCCATTGAAGTAATTATATTTTGTCACTATTCCCTTGGTTAGAATTAAGAGGAGTCGTAAAGGGTCGGGGGGTCAACTAGCTCAGTGACTGAAAATTGGTTGTAAGCCTGTCAAATTACCTCAATGCCCAATGTATCAAAAACTGGTTTGTATAATCCAGACTCCATACAATTCTTATAAATCTGGAATATTGCTGATAAATCATACCAAAATAAACATTTTTCGTTTAATTTTGTAGCGTTTAAATGTTAATGATCGTTTTATCATTTCTCAATTTCTATTTCTCCAGCTTTGACCTTGACCCACGAGAACGTCACTCATTTTGGGCGCTACTATTTGGGGGAATGTTTACATTCTTCGCTTACACGTTCGACCAATCAGCAATTCAAAGGATCTGTGGTATACCGTCTTTGACAGGAGCCCGACTGTAGGTTGATTTCAATTCAAAATACATTCTACCATGATTTCAGTAAATGCTGGATTGCGATTGGTTAATTAAAGTCATTCAGAGGTATATAATCACGTTATCCAACACAGTATGTATTTTTGAAAAAATTCTTAATAACGCGGTTATGGTTGAATGGAGATAAACATACTGTGTTGGAAAATCAGAGGTATATAACGAAATTGTAATAGCTCTAAATAATTTTTTTAGAGCTATTATAATTTCGTTATATACCTCTGATTTTCCAACACAGTATGTTTGTCTCCTAAGTAAACTACGTTTATAACGAACTTGCTTGTTACGAACTGACGGATACAACAAACGGTCCTTTGGTCCTAGGAAACTTCTTGTGCATTCTAGTCGAAACTACGGTTGTAACGATCTATGATATAAGTTGTCTCTTTTAGCTTGTTATAACCGTAATTTACTGTAGCTCAAGATTATCAGAAAGTTCAACCACACGTTCTTTTCTTGGTAAGCATTTATCATTAGTTATGTGGGACGGTGGGGTAGCCTAGTGGTTATAGCGTTCGCTCGTCACGCCAAAGACCCGGGTTCGATTCCCCATATGGGTACAATGTGTTGAGCCTATTTCTGGTGTCCCCCGCCGTGATATTGCTGGAATATTGCTAAAAGCGGCGTTAAACTAAACTCAATCACTTACTCATTAGTCAAGCGAGTGACTTTTCTCTGATGAATTCATTGTAGGAAGCATAACAAAATATTTAATACTCGTCCATGCAGCGACTGACACAGGGACTCGTTTCGTGTTTCGGTACAAATCTAAGACATCTGATCGCGGTGTAATAGTCGCGGATACGCATAAAGCGGTCCTGATTACTGAAATCACCTGATAGGTGTATGTAACCATCCTGGTGGGTGAGAGACCTCCCACACAGGTTGATAGTCGTAATTACAATACCTGAATGATAATAAATGGTAATGAATGACAATGAATGGTGTTAAAGAATATTTTTGCCCTTAAGTTTTAAAACGTGAAAGAATTCGGGTACAAGCATCCTTGTATGAACTAAAATAGTTCAATGCAAAACTATATTCTATTTCTTATGAAATAAACTTAGTATGTACAACCCTATATACAATCCTAGGTTAATTGTAAATAATATTGTAATTGTAAAATGTGTTTATATATAAAATTTCTTTCGAGTGTGCCTTTGTGTTTATAATAGACTTGTGAAATCTTTGAAGGGCATTTAGAAGTGGAATGCATAATTATTAAGAAAAGAAAGATTTATGGATGTCAACTTCTTTATTGTGAATAACACGACATTTCGGGGTATATGCTTGCTTGTACGACCTGATGAAGGAGCAAGCATGCACTCCGAAACGTCGTTTTATTCACAATATGAAGTTGACATCCATAAATCTTTCTTTTCTAATAGACTTTTGTATATGTGTGAACTTGGATCCTCGCTATGTGGCCGATGAAGCTAAATATTAACTCACTCACTCACTTAAATCATTTATATGTATTTCTGAAAGGCACTATGAGCGGCCGAGATAGCTTTCCGATGTTGGTCCAACGTTTCCAGTCGGATTTCCTACGTTGATCCGACGTTGGCTCGACGGGCGAAAAGGCGTCGGGCAACGTTAGTGATAACGTTGGGCAGACGTTGGCCCAACATCAGAATGTTAACTGGGACAGGTTTCGTCACTATACCACGGTGTTACTGGTATTTAAAATTGAAAGATAACTTATGCCAAAACTCTCTTTAACCTACAGTGTGTACGCATGGAACATACCTATACTGGGAGTCTACATGGTCTGCGTGTGCTCCATGGGCGTCGTCGCCTACAGCTACCTCGCAGCAAAGGGATGTGATCCCTTCCAGACTGGCATCCTCACAGACAGAAACCAGGTATGAACTGACGGTACCAATTCGTAAGGAATATGCTAGTTTGTTGTTTAACACATTTCCAGCAGTATGACAGCGATTTATAAATAATCCCGTCTGGACAAGACTAGCCATTGATTGACATCAATCTACACAGTTGGGATATGACATGTGTCAACCAAGTCAGGGAGCTTGACCACGAGGTCGACGTCCCTGTAGTCGACTCTTACAAAAAGCATTGGTTGCTGAAGACCAATTCTAACCCGGATCTTCAAATGTAATATGCTTGTAGTGAGTGGGTATGGTTTTACACAGCTTTTGGCAATATTCAAGGAATATTACGACGGGGGACACAAGAAATGGACATTGTACCCGTGGGGAAGCGAACCTGTGTTTTCGGATAGGCGAGCGAACGCTTTTACCACCAACAGCCCGAATATGCTTTTAAATGAAGGGGAAAAAACATTTATGGATAAAGAATTAAAAATATTCTTTTTATTCAGCTGATGCCCTTTGTTGTGTTGGAAGTATTTAAAGGTGTACCTGGCATGGCTGGTTTGTACCTGGCCACCATATTCAGCTCGGCGTTAAGGTACGTCCTACAGTTAAAACATGGACACACAGGGTCAAGCGTCATAGTTGGTTTTCAGAGACCCATTCATAGCTTTTACAGATAATGGAGACTGGTTATTATGCGGTGTTGGTATTTTTACAGAAATATGAATTGGCTGACGTATGCTAAGGATTATGTAATATACATATAATACAATTAAGTCATCGCTTTATAACGGTGTTAGAAAACGGTATAAGATCTACACCGAAACGTCACTCCTAGTGTAATAAAGAGGTTCATGCATATATTCTTATCCCTCCGTAATACTTGTTTTGAGGATTAATCTTATTTTGCCTCGAGTTTCATCTTCTTAAACCAGCAGCCTGGTGTAATGTTCAGCAATACATGACTCATGCTGGAAGATCACGTGTGCCTCAGATCATGTGTTTAGTCTCACGTGTTGTGATCGCTCAGAAATGATTAACTGTTTATGCTACTTTTCTTGTTTAACGTAAAGGCCAAGTGTATATGTTAGGTGATTTTTAAGAGAAATGAGTTAAAACAAATATGGTAGATACCGACCCAGTTACTGGTCATAACATTTCTCGTCGTGTATTTGGTAACTCGCACAAAGGCTTGTAACGCAAAAATAGGTATATAGGACTCAGTGGTATTAATCGATGCTAGGCAAGACTCCGATAGTGAGAGTATATACAGTAGATCTATCTATCGATCGATCTGTATGTCTGTCTGACTGAAGGTGCTCTGATAACGAACCTTGCGAAATCGTTAATTGATAAGATTATTCATGGTCCCTACAACAATAACTGCTACATTGTTCATAATCTTTATATTCATCTGGATTCGGTCCGATCTAGCACTTTATCGTCCGTCACCAATGGTCTAGCTGCTAACACCGTCATGGATATTCTGAAGCTGCCGTTTCAGCGCTATAAAACAAAGGAGTCTGTGAGGATGCTCACAGCTAAAGTAGCAGGTATGACAAATGTCCACAAATATATTGTGAAATCAGTACATAATGACACACGATGAAGGAATGATTATTTGTAGTCGAAATAAGATAATACAATGGGTAAAAATATATGTCAACAGCATTGATGAACAGGTCCGAGCACACCAGCTGGTTCCTGCACGAATGTTCAGCATTTGTCGCAGCTGAATTTCAGGAATGAAGTAAACGCCCAGTATCGCGGAGCGCACCAGTCTCGCACACATGATTCGGCAGGCCGTCTCGCCTTTTATCAGTACCAAGTGGAAGAAGACATGAAAAACCACGTTACCTATGTACGAGACTGAAAACAAACTCCTCAAAGCGGAAAGAGGGTAACGACGGTGTCATTCACTGGGACAGAGTTTAGACTGTAAAAACACTAAGGGAGGTCACTCTAATTCACATTCATCATTGCTTGAGTTTGTAATCCATAATGACTATTTAAATCCGAATAAATCTGCTTGCATTCATTATTGCAATACAAAACTCAGTTAGTCGATGGCAAACAGACATGACCACCCTTTAGCTATACAACCAACACCAACACTGCTGTCTGTAATAAATTCACTGAAATATCACAACTTAGTACAAGACCTAGTCCAATATTTTGAGACCAACTCATTCAACTGGATATATAAATATTGAACAGTATTATTTGATACATTTAATCACTTGTATATTGCAACACTACGCTGAATAAGCGCAAAGAACACATAACAGGTGTAACCAGTCAGCCAGATGAATTGTGAATCATTTTACGACCTCATCAAACCAGGGCAGTCTGTGACCTCTTAGTTAAGGTCATGCTGCCTAAACCTCGCAAAAAAATATAGAAATACGATATTTTATAGTTTGTGAGAACCATTTTTTTATGAAACAAGGAATTTGAATTTGGTGTAACCATAGTTGTTTGTAGTGGCTCTTTTCACTTTCACACGAGGAAATTCGGATCTGCTGAAAAGTAGGTCATTGTCTGAATTGGTTACTACGACTCATGTTTCGGTTTGTTATTTCAGTATGGTTTTAGGGTGGTGTGTGTATGGGCTTAGCTTTCCTGGCGCAGAGCTTTCCTGGGACAGTGTTTGAGGTGAGAACTAAAACGCTGATCTGTATTTTTATCAGTTCAAGGTGTTATTATTCACATACCAGCAGCTACAGATTTGTGGACGTGCCTTTCGTACATACAAGTTGGTATCCAATTTAGGCAAGGCGACACTTAGGTTTGCCGTACCCAAGTGACGCAATCAGGAAAGAAAACAATGTTTACAATTTATGTTATTTTGTCGACAGCCCTGTTTTGAGCGGTAAATAAAATAAAGAGAAAAAAGTTAGCAATGTCTCTCGGACAGAGGTATACACATGGAACATACTGCGCTTAAAATAACTTTCGTCATCAATTAAACCATGCCAAATATATATACAGTGGAAGCCCGCTTATCCGAACCCCACATATCCGGAAACCTCGATTACCGGAAGATAATTATGTGAAACGAAATACATACTACTTATAATGCTTCATTTACCTGGAAATCTGGGTTCCGGATCTGTACGGTGAATTTCAGTTACCAACAGTCCCAAATACTCACACAACCGGGTAGCTAATTCATTACATGGCATGAAATGTCATACTTAATTTATTCCTGATATTTCATATAATGGTCATTAAAAGTCATTTATTGTATATCTAGACTGATTTATTGTATCAATATTATTCAAAGTAATAGTCGCTATTGTCTATCAAAATTGTAAGTGACCGCACGAATGTAATTTAGATGAACATAGAGTTGAACGATACTTTAGTGAGTGAGTGAGCGAGTTTAGTTTTACGCCACACTCAGCAATATTCCAGCGGCGGTCTGTAAATAATCGAGTCTGGACCAGACAATCCAGTGATCAACAGCATGAGCAACGATCTGCGCAATCGGGACCAATGACATGTGTCAACCAAGTCAGCGAGCCTGTCCACCCGATCCCGTTAGTCGCCTCTTACGACAAGCATGCATGGGTTACTGAAGATCAATATTCTTACCCGGACCTTCACGGGTCAACAATAGTTTAGTTACATTCACGGCGTCACCTAACTAGTAGAAGATGGCCCGACATCACGCATTTCTTTGATGGTTACCACTTTGGTGAAACCTACGAGGAGGCCATTGGTGTTGACAAACTGAAAATCGAACACAATACAAATCTGTGATTCGAGTGAGTTTAGTTTAGTGTTACGCCGCTTTTAGCAATAATCCGACAATAACACGACAGGGGACACCAGAAATGGGCTTCACACATAGTACCCATGTGGTGAATCGAACCCGGATCTTCAGCGTGACGAGCCAACGCTTTAACCACTAGGCTATTCCACCGCCCCCTCTGTGATTCGATTCCATGATAACAAAGGCAAGAGAGGGACGCCCTTCTATTGCTTGACAACTAAAACTGTTTCTGTACAATTTTCATGTCGAACAGTCTTTGTATAATTTGGTCAAACCTGAGTCAACCAGAAATTTTGAGAGATTTTCATGTCGAACAGTCTTGGTATAATTTGGCCAAACCTGAGTCAACCAGAAATTTTGAAGAGTATATCCCTACAATAAATGCCGCGCCATTGTACACTGCCGTAGGTACTGTAAAGATGCAGATTCGAACTCGTTTTCTGCAACGAATTAATCTCATACGAGACGACTAGAGGCATCGGGTGGTCAGATTCGCCGACTTCGTTGATTAATGTTATCGTATACAATCGGCGTACACGGTTGTGTTGCTGAGTGCGGCGTAAAACAACAACCAACTCCAGAGCTAATATATATATGTACAAATCAAATACGAATGTCTAGTCTTTATTCACTTTATATAATTCAATATTATAGGCCACCGTAAGCCTGCTAGGAGCGTGTGGTGGGCCGATAGTGGGCGTCTTCTTCCTGGGAGCGCTAGTACCATGGACAAATAAAATCGTAAGTAAAAAACACAACACTGCAATACATTGGACATAACGAACCGCACCTGACTGTCATTTATCATCAAATATACGAACATGAGTCGCTGATGTTGAAAACTCAACACATGGAATTTTGAAACTTACGTCAGCGACGTTCATCCAAAATTAACTTACCCAAATTGTACTTACATTTCATGTAGTGAACCCGATAACGATAAAGTAAACTTATCAAATTAAGATATATCTGGATCTGAGTGCTCCAGCTTTTGTGCTGCGTTTGTTGTGACGTGGGCCTGATGTCCAGCTCACCAACGCCCCCATACCTTTATTTAATGATACAGGGTGCGATAGCAGGATTGATCGTGTCTCTCCTACTGAGCACGTGGATGAGCATCGGGGCAGCGTTGTATGGACGGAGACCTGTACCCCTTCCCCCAGCTCCCGGCAACTCCTGTGACGTTTTCTCTCTGGCCACCGTCAACGGCGGAAACATCTCCACAAGGTTGCCATCAATGCTAAATATAACACCGGCATCGTTCAGGTAGTGTAACTTTCGGCGTTATACTTTGGTTGCAGAATAAACTGGGTGTTTGAATGCCTATTCATGAGACAATATAAAATTCTATAGCGGAAAGTGTATGCGCTCATCACATGCACAATCGCAACATTCATTTGGGTTAAAGTAGGATAAAACCATCCTCAATAGCTTGATCTTTGCAGTAACGTCACAGAGAACGAGGGACTCTTCTTTACAACATCTCTTACCAACACTACGGTCTTACAGCCTGGCTTTTTGCATTAATCGTGGGATTTGTGGTCAGCGTTGCTACATGTAAGTAACTTTGTCCACTTTCCTCCACCCTGTAATATATATGTGTATAAAACACAGTGCAAAATGCAAGGTAGAAGGTGATGAAAAGGCTACATGTTTCATTCCATGTGCAACTGAACTGAACTTTTAGAAGTCGAAAGAACGACGTTTCTTTAATTTAAATATATACATTTTCAGTAAAAATCTGCATACCCACTCAAACATGACACTGGGAATGTATTTTGAATGACGAAGTTTTAACGTTTGAGGGATATCATTTTGAGGTGTTGTTATAGGTCGAATGTATCCTCCTATTACTGATGACAAGCTGCTGTTTCCGGTTGTGAGACGATTTTGGAACATTAAGGGTTTTCAAGTGTCTGGACAAGTAAGTACTAGCACCATTACTTACTTTATGACTGCTTGTCACTCTATGAGTTAAGAAAATTCAACGTTCCTGTGCACTTGTGACCCGTGAAGAGACGACTAACGGAATCGGGTGGTCAGGCTCGCTGACTTGGTTGACACATATCGTCGTATCCAACGTGTGTGGATCGATGTTCATGATGTTGATCACTGGATTGTCTGGTCCAGACCCGATTATTTACAGACCGCCACCATATAGCTGGAATATTGCTGAGTGCGCCGTTACACAACAAAGGAACCAACAATGTTTGACGCTGGTCAGTGAAACATAAGTATATCCTCAGCAGGATCAGCGTATAGGAGACACAACAGCAAACTTTGCTTAGAAAGTGAAATCCCAAATACAACATACATGTATGTTGTGATTCATTTTCAGATGGAGAAAGAGAAATCTGTCACTCTGCAAGACCACACACCATGCGCCCTAACCTCCTTCCATTTAAAGATTGGGTCAGTTACAGGAGATAACCATGTAGAGGACAGCAGATTTTGATGGCGGACTGGATCATAAACCCCGCTGTGTCCTAACTGAAGCCTTATTGTAGTTGAATTGATAAAACATTGTAATGGATGATACGAAACAAACAGGGCCGCGATTCACAAAGCAATCGTTGCGCTACGACTCCTATACTTTAACATAGAGTTACGACAGTCGTAACGCTACGACTCCTATACTTTAACATAGAGTTACGACAGTCGTAGCGCTACGACTCCTATACTTTTAACATAGAGTTACGACAGTCGTAACGCTAAGATAGCTTTGTGAAACAGGGCCCAGAACAGTAATTATTACGTGCTGACAAATACAGTGCCAGTGTTACCATAATGACAAAACCAGATCATATTGGCCACCTTATATCAATTAGAAATTATATTGATTCTGAGTTATCCTTAGATCTTGGGTGACTAAACCCCTATGCTTGTAGACATGTATTCAGACCAAATGATTTTTGTCATCAGATCATACTGACCAGCTCATTATATTATGATTGATAATTATACTGAACGTATTCATCATAGACAGTTTGACAAAGATAAGTATCACATTGACTAAAAGAGCTAGAGTCTGCTACTACTTGCATAAACAGAAACACTTCCGAAATAACACAATGCAGGTCGGACATATGAATGTTTGTTAGTAAACTATATGGTCAGATGCTGACTGCATGCAATACCATTGTCAACGGTTTAATGAAACCTAATATACTCAGCAGCTAAAAAAAGTACGAATTCAAAATTCGATAGGCCCTGTTACAGAAATTGACATGATAAGCGGATCAAAAACATTCTTTGTATACAGTATCTTGACACATCAAGGAATAACTCAGCACAATTTCAAGACATTACGTGAACGTTTGCAGTCCATTCAGTCTCTTGACTTCAGTATCTAGTGTGACCACCACGAGCGGCAATAACTGCAGCACAGCGTCTATGCATGGAGTGCACCAATCGATTGATGAAGGCCATTGGCACCTGGAACCACACTCTGAGAAAGGCCTGGCGCAATAAATCGGCTGTGTTCGGCCTTGGTATGACATTATTCAGTCTCCTCTGAATTTCATCCCAAAGATGTTCAACTGGGTTTAAATCAGGACTAAGGGCTAGCCACTGCATCATGTTGACACCGTTCTGCTGTAGGAAGTCCCGTGTAGCTCTGGCAGTATGGGCCCGGGCGTTATCATGCTGGAAAATCTTGTTCCGGTGACGTGCGAAATGTGGTATGACGTGGGGTCTGAGAGCTTGGTCGATGTAGCGCACCGCTGTGATGCCGCCTCCTCTCCCTGGACCAAGGTTTTCTCTTGTACCACCAAACGTGGTTATTTGAGAATAAACTGAACTTGAACTTGGAACACCACAGGACCCACTCTCTGGTTCAGGCCTATTCCGCACCATACCATGATGCTTGCACCTCCCCATGAGTCTCTTTCCATAACACATTGGTCTGAGTAACGCTGGCCACGTCGTCGCCATATTCTTGTTCTGCCATCTGCAGTTGATACGCAGTACCGACTCTCATCTGTGAACAGAACAGTTCTCCATTGCCTGTATCGCCAGTTTTGGTGTTGTAGGGCAAACTGCTGACGTTCACGCCGATGGCGAGGGGAGTGAGGATAGGTCCACGGTAGGGTCTACGGCAATGGAAGTTCCCGCTGTTAAGACGTCGGCGTACTATCAGTACTCATTGGTCTTCCGTGTGTTCCCAGTGTCAGGCGTGCTGTTTCGGATGCCTGCATGAAGGGATTCTGTACATGCTGTCGCACAACATGGCGGTCTTGTCTTGTGGTCACCCTTGGTCTGCCAGAACGGGGACGATCATTGGTGTTGTTGGTGTCCCGGAAACGTTGCTGCAGCCTGTAGATGGTCCGAACGTTAACCTGGAAGTGATTGGCAACGGCTTGTGCAGTGTGGCCAGCTTCAAGTCTTCCTAGCGCCTGATTCCTCTCAGCTGTCGTGAGTCGCGTCATCCTGCTGACGTTGTAATGTGAATGTTTTAACCAGGTGTAGGGGTGTATGTCATAGGGCTGGTCCTTGTGAACAGCACGTGCAGCATGAGTTGCATGAAAAACATGGAGAACACCGTACCATCTCCGAGATCAGGTTGCGTTTTTGAGAGCATTTCCTGGGTTCCATTCTGAGTTTGGGAAGGAGTGTCTTTGCACAGGTATTGTTTGAGATGTTGTCAAAATATACAATCAAAACATTAAATGAGTTTACAGTTATCCGTTTCTGCGAAGGGAAATTCTAAACTGACGTTTCTTTTGCTGCTTAGTATATAAAGGAATCATCGTGACCTTCTCTAAGGAACAAGTACTCCCACAATGAGTGTATGCTTTCACTCTAAATAAGCAGTTTTTATACAGCACATACAAATAATTAATCAGTTAACATTGTCAATATAATGTTTGGAACATAAATACAAGTTATACACATACTACCCGTGATGATCCGGGTTAGAATTGTCTTCAGCAACCAATGCTTGTCGTAAGAGGCGACTAATGGGATCGGGTGGTCAGGTTCACTGACTTTGTTGACATATGTCATTTTATCCCAATTACGTAGATCGATGCTCTATGTCAAACACTAGATTATCAGATCCAGACTCGATTATATTTTTACGGAAGATTGCTGAATGCTGCATTAAACAGCTTAAACACAAACTCCCCAAAACTCTGTTCTGGTAGCAGACTGTTAAACAACAAACATACAATGCCATTGTGTTTGTGTCTTGATATTCTAGATAGTAATAAAGTTTGCAGTCCAACTCTGTCATATGTTCTTTATATGCTCAAAGAGCAAAACCGCGTGAAGGTCCGGGTTAGAATGAACCTTCAGTAACCCATACTTGTCGTAAGAGGCGACTAACGGGATCGGGTGGTCAGACTCGCTGACTTGATTGACACATGTCATCGGTTCCCGATTGCGCAGATCGATGCTCATGCTGTTGATCACTGGATTGTCTGGTCCAGACTCGATTATTTACAGACCGACGCCATATAGCTGGAATTTTGCTGAGTGCGGCGTAAAACTAAACTCACTCACTCACTCAAAGAGCAAAGGTGTGTGATAACCTCATACCAAGAAATGGTGCTTGTTGTTACCCAGCCTGATTTATTGAAAAGGGAAATAGTAGTTGTTTCAGAGATTGTATGGTGCATCCATGTGCAGCTGGTAGATGTCTAAGTGTTCTAAAACTAACAATACAAGAAAACACTACTCGGAAAGATCCGAATGAGAATTGGGGTGAGTGAGTGACTTCAAATTTTAAGTTACATCCGCAGTATTTCAGCCATATCATGACTATACTAAGTTATAATAAAATTATAATTAAAGGTAGATTTTAAAAATCTGTCAACGAAGGACGGTAATAAAACAACCAGTTTATCACCGATATAAACTTAAAACCAGTAATTAAACCTAAAACATTTACCTACAGATGACAGTACAGTATAAAAGCAGGATATAGATCTGAACAACTGAAGGAAGATCACCATAATAGGGACCATGGGCTTTTATAGTACATTTCCTTCCTGCTTGGACCCTAGCTGGATTTATACCATCCCTTCAGCCGTTAGCAATTGTAGCCAGAACTAACAATAAATTAAAATGACATATATACCACCATCACAGAGTGTTAGAATTGGCCTTCAGCAGCCCATGCTTGTCGTAAGAAGCGACTAAAGGGAGGATCCAGCTCGCTGAATTGACTGCCACATGCCATTGTAACACAATTGCGTAGATCGATGTGTTAAGACTTATAAACACACCTGTGCCATTTAGCTGGAATACTGCAGAGTACAGCGTTAAGCAACAATCCGACACGTTAACTCACGCACGTACGCACGCAGTCATCGTGATGGCAACCACATTCCACTTCAGCTATTCTTATCATAAGACACGTTAATCTGATTAAATCTTTTCAGGTGGGACGGATCCAGTGACTAAGTTAAGTAGTATTGCATAACAATGTAGATTAGAAGTGTTTGGTCACGATGTCATTGGAAATTCCGAAAAGAAATCCGGTTCTAGTTAAAGCCACCAACATAGATTCAGTGAATATGGCAATGCATTTGAAACTCATTACTGGTTGTGCTGGCAGGCAGGATTTATGTTCACATCCCCAAAGCTGGTGCAGCCACTGTATATTTACAGTCGACTTTCTAAATTTGTACTTGACTTTTCGTCATGCTGAGGTGACCTGTTCTTGGTCTCACATTTGACAGGTGCTTGGAAGTTTTGTATTTCTTGTTAAGAACTTCATATATTTAAAAGAATGATTTTGTATAAGTGAGTGACAGAGTCTGATGGGATTAACACTGCTTTGAACAGAGAACCATTTATATCGTGGCATCTCAGCTTCATCAAGTGATGCAGATGACTACACTACCTCGGTGAAACCCATGAGCAGGGATATGGTGCTGACAACCCAGAAGACATAACCATGATCATTCCGGCATGTCTAAGGGACGCACCATTGCACAGCCGACTGAAGAGGCTTAGACGTGAGGGCTTTACAAGTAAATCCTGTTATAGTCGAGATATTATAGATGTCAGCGGAAGCATATAGCGTTTACTCCTTCATCACTTCTAAACTCCAAAGACTCCTACATCCTTTTGGAAATACAACTGATAAATGCATAAGCCACATTTGCCATCATAAAATGTAATGCTTAAAATGAACACGTAATTGGGTTTGCTCCATATTTATTGGTAGTACATTGAACATGTCATATTTATTGGTATAGTCCGTTTAATTTCATTTTAGACCGATGAATTGCTCACTAACACAAAACCTAAAAATTGCAACAAAACCAAATTTTGCACAGTCACATGAAATCGACAGACCAACTCTGATGATTTGTAGATTTGATGATTTGGTAGAACAGCCAGGTAATCAACAAGCGTGTGCAGTGAAATTTCAATTTCACACGTACAACTCGCACACCTGGTTGTTCTACGAGTAAGTGGTCCTCCCTCGTACGAAATAGCGAAAAGTGACAACAAAATAAAGATAGTTTGTTAAACAACTTTCTATTCGAGTGTCCAAAATTATTAGACAAATGTCAGTCTATAATGAAGTCAAACGGACTGTAGTACATTGAAAATGTTTCATTAAGACTAAATCTTATTTGCATTGTGGATAAAATGACTCTGTGTATAAGTCTATGTAAGTCTATACCACAGCACTGCGTAAACCTACACTGCAATTCAAACCGGTATTCTTTAAAATGACTTGCGAAACCAGGGTGACATTGTAGAAAGCGATTTTAGCATTGTGGATTGTATACAAGCACTCCCATACTTTAACACAGACTTAGACTTAAGGTTGCATTGTACAACAACAAGATCTACATGTTTAGACATTTCTGTTGACCGACACTTAATTAAAGTTTTTTAATTACAGTTTATTAAAAGTAGATATAGGTCATGCATGATATAAAAGTGAGATTATTTGGTTATATGCAATCAGTAATAAAGACTATTTTTAATCCATAAATCTAATACAGACTCATTATTACTGATGTGTGTTTCATTATAATGAATATTGTTTGAGTAAAATTATACAAAATTTTGGGACATAATTAATTCAGGAGAGTTATTCAAGTAAAGGATGGGTACAGTATCATCTAAATCAATACGAGTAATAACTAGTATGCCTACATTTAAACAGCTGCTGAAAACCTTTCACGTGAATGAATACGTTATGGATTCAATTGATGTGTCTAGGATTATCGAACAACAGATGGTTCTCTGGACAATAGAAAATATTTTTTATCATAACAGTCCACCTGATTTCGACAAACGATAAACTGGGTGTACATTCCGGTTACTGCCAAGGGCCCCAGGCTCCTCCGTGTAGGCTGGGGTCAGCCATGGGGTCAGAGGCAGGGAAGACAGTGGGCACTGCTGTTTTCTGGTAGTTGGCTAATCGGTTCAGCAGATCCATAACAACGCCTGGGTTAGCCACTGACACGTCATGGCGCTCAGTTGGATCATTTGGTATGTCGAACAGCCAGAGGTTCTTCAAGGCATCAACAGGTGGCACAATCGGCTTCCTACCGGATTGTGGAGGTGGGGTCCAGCTGCCCTCTCCTGGGGATGGAAGGAAACTGGTTGTGGATGTCATCATAGATAAAATCATATTTAAACGAAATTGATTTCATAAAAAAACACCCGACCCCATTTGTCGCCTTTTACGACAAGTCTAACCCGGATCTTCACGGGTTGTTTAATATGACCTTCACCGCCTGTCACGACCTGTAGGAGCTAAGAAACTGAATCAATGGATGGACGCGTTACCAACTACAGTAATCAGCAAAGAGTGTCTACAAACCCGGATCTCCAGTGATGAGCTTCCACTTCCCAACTCTTATTGCTGCTCTGATCCGCGTGTCAAAGGTGTTGTTATACAGCTTTTGTCCCTGGGGCTTTGTCAGGGGGTCAATATTGTGTAGGATCTCCGTCCTTGGACTGGCGCTATTTTGACTGAAAGAATGGCAAATTGATATACTTCTCCTCGTTCGTGTTAGCAAATAAGCACTGCAGTTATGTTACTGAAGAGTGGAGACCTCTCTATTCAAAACATGTGTATTCTCAGCAAAAGGTTTCAAGTGCATACTCCAAAGGTTGGACATCTACAATAACATGTCTCGAAATTCAACACAGAAGTTTAAGTGATTTGAACAAGCGTTTGAAATTGATTTGATTAATTGTTTATGGTCCGTCAGTTCTTGTGTCACACCCTCTGCATCTTTTAGTGTTGGTAATACTACATTTGTGTTTTGTTAGAAGGATCAAATGTCTCGTCTCGATCTTCTGGTGACGGTAATTTCCGAGTTTTAGTAGAAATAGAACATCATCATGAGGTTTATATGTATAATCTAGAGGTATCAAGGTAGAGAAAAAAGAAAAGAATGTGCTAATATTTCTCCGTTAGGAAAACTATCATACTAAATAATTGAAAATGAAATGCATGAGTGATGTAGGTGGCAACATTGGTAGAACATTTCAAGTTGATTTCAGATAAAAAAATAAAGAAAATACTATCCATATCATTCATTACATGTGCACTAGAGTATTTTGTTTGGTTTCCTTTATAACATTAGAATCAGTAATACTGCAGTTATGTGATGATCGCCTGTAAATATTAAATCTGAGCAGACTGACAGTAACATGGTGAGCAACAAGGCATTCAGTTTGGGGACAATGACATACAACCCAGCATTCTATGCTATGTTTGCATCATTTAATGAACTAATATATTTGGTATCATAGATTTGAAACTCTACGTAAACCACAGGTGATTGTAACACGGAAACAAGCACAAATGCATAATTTATATATTACATTATATCACAAGTGGGGTCTTAAAACTACTAAGAGGGGCCTTTAAACTAGTGAAAAGGTAGCAGTTGTCAATGCAGGGATGTTAGTGCCATATAAAATGATCTTTTACATTGTGCTAAGATCGTGGCACTGACCCCGGTACTAACAATACAATACATTTACCTTAGCGTTTGCGTTACACGCCTTGGCGGTGATATAAGCATCATTTTACCTGATGGTCTTCCATTGGTCAAATCCATCTAGAGGCTTTGTTCCATTGGTGTTCCCACCAGCCAGACCCACCAGTGTTGGGAACCAATCAGATACATGGATCATCTGGTGATTGGTCGTTCCTTTGTTCTGCAGCATGTCGCCGTACACAAACCCAACAGCCCTGGTACCTCCTTCCCATAATGTCGCCTTCATTCCCCTCAACGGCCAGTTGTTTGCCCCGTGGTGGACCTGGCCTCCATTGTCTGAAACACAAGTATTTTGTCTTGTAATTGTTTGATCGGCATTCTAGAAGTTGGTGACTCGAAATGAAACATACGACTTTATAGATGGCAACTTTTTTTTTTATTGCATAGAGCGACGTTTCGATGTAGATCCTTACATCGTTATCAAGCTAAAAGTGAATGCAACCAGATGATGAGAGGTATATATACATAGTATGATTTGACAAACAGCAGATGAACATTAACAACAACATGTAATTGAATAACAACTTGCACAGAATTATGAGAGGCCAGTGGGAGACTAAAAACAACAAATGAGACTGGTATGGAAGCCAATAAACAGTGGGGATTAGGTTTCTAATAACAAGCTGATAGGGTGCTTTTAGAGTCTATATTTTGATTTATTCTTCATAGGCCGATGGTATGTGGTATCCTTGGTCTCTATTGATCAAAGGTTTGTGGCGGCGAAAAGGTTTGTGATAACACTGTAAGGATCTACATCGAAACGTCGCTCTATGCAATAAATAAGAAATTTTCATTCATAAAGTTGTATGTTTCATTTTGTCTTGTAGCTTATGAGAGTAACTCTGCTCTACTCTTGAGCAAAAACACATTTTGTCTTCAAGCGAAAGTATTGCATGTGAACCAACGGACCTTCTTTTAGCCATTCTCGCCAACCTGACACCTGGTTTACTTGAACCGGGCTGTGGTATAATGACTGGGGTACATAAACTATATAACTGAGAATCATCAGCCTCAATTATCTTCAGAATCAGATTCCACTGGTGTCAGAATAACATAGGATATTAAATGACTGGACAGTGATTTATCTAAACCTACCAAAGCGCGATATTCAGCCCTGAATAGGAACATATAAAAAAGTTTCAACGGGTTTAAATTAGTTGTTTCCGATTTGCCCGCCAAAGACACTTTGCTTGGTTCCCAGCTGAATGTCTGGTATATCACGGTCATGACGCAAGTTGCCTCTGAAAAGAGTAACCATGTCATGCCCTTACCACAGGCACCTGAAGGCACAATGGGGCTACGGGACCAGTTCCCTCCCAAGGGTTCAATTTTAATTGAGCCCTTGGGAAGTCTGAGGTGCATGCAAAATTTGATGAAAATCGGTCGAAAAGTTTCTGAAATGTTGACTTTTAAGTGATCATGGGGTCGGTCGGGAAAAGGCAAAATGTCCAACTTTTTGTTGTAATTAAGTCTTAATTAATTTAATGAAGTCGTCGAGAGTATTCCAAATGCACTTTAGGAAATGATCACTTTTTAGTGAGCATGGGGTCGGTCTGGCGAAAGGCTAACAATCCAACGTATTGTCGTACTTGTTATATATTATCGAGGCGAGAGGTGTTTTTTGCCGAATGAAACGCAGGTCTCGGAAGTCATGACCTCGCTATCGTCTCGGGGGTTGCTTTGAGCGAGCGCCGTGGACGAGTATAAGTGTGTGTGTTTCTCGGCTCGGCTATGATGATGATGCATGGCCGGCCGACTAGCGAGGCTACAGATGTCTGAAAGTGAATGAAACACATCTCCCGGCAGATTCCACCCCGGGTCGTCGTCTCGGTATCATTGAGCGAGCGCTGTGGGCGAGTCGCAGTGTGTGGCTCGGCTCGGATTGTACAGCCGACTGGCTGGCTGGCTGGCAACGTTATGTTGATTTCCACTAAAACATACCGCATCTCTCGGCAGTTCCCCTGGGTCGACTCGCTGCCGTCTCGGTAGCATTGAGCGAGCGCTGTGGGCGAGTCGCAGTGTGTATGTCTCGGCTAGGCTATTTACCTACAGCTTGCTGAGATGGCTGGCCACGTTATGTTGAAGTCCTCGAAACAGTTTATTGTGAATCTCATTCTATGATTTGTTTGGCTTGTCCGGCCGGTTGCTTCCCTTGATTTATGAATTTTTTTTCTCGGCTTCGCTGATGACGGCGTTTTTACCAGACTTGGTTCGAATCTCTTGTTTCATTCTGTGATATTTTGCGATTTCTGATAGCACCAAACGAAACTCTTCTTGGGAGATTTTAGATTCGGTGAGCGCGGTGTAAATATTTGAGGCTGATAAGGTTTAGATTATCGTACACGTAAATATTCGAGACATGAATCGAATTTTTGTCTATAACACGCACTCCATCGAGGCTTATTAAGGGTGTTGATCCCGGTCTTATGATGATACGACACCGTTGGTGATTGTGTCTGGTGAACCAGCATATTATCAACCCAGTCAAAAGTGTTCGTTCTGATCCACGAGCGTCAGCGAGATAGACATCTACTACGAGCGTGGTGAGTGATTTGATAGTCAAATTTGAATCGAAAAAATCCCGTTGTTTATCGGGTACGTCAAACCGTAAATATGAAGCCACGTCGTTTGAAGCTGACATGTTGCCCGTGTGACCTGGTATTCGTAAAACGTGTACATCAAACTCTGGAGTGAAAGACGTGAGAAGGATCCCATTGTTCGTAATTTTGGAGACGTAACCATTGTTTTTAAAAGACATGTGGGGTGAGGTGAGGGTCATGTTGAACAACCAGTCAGGCTGTTTGAAGTCTGCTAGTGACACCCGCTCGTATACGTTGTCTTTTAAGTGCAGGACGTACAAGGTGTTTTCCTCGCCGGGCAGATCGAATCCCCGCGTGTCCCCGAGATCGGCTAGCGTTATGTCGGGATGATGGTTGTTCATCGGTTGTTTTATACAAAATTACGAAATGGTTTTCAATTGGTTATCGGATAATTCCTCGGACGTGCACTTCAAAACCATGAGATGTATGTTGTCGAGTAGGAACTTTTTTGTGAGCGATATCGTGTCTTCCATGGTCACAGTGACTCCATGCAGACTGCTGTAGGCGTTAACGTTCATCCGCACGTAAACGGGGCAAACTTGGTATTGTTGTTTTTGGCCCAACGGAGTTTGATCCCTTTCACGATTTCTACGACGTTACGCGCCGACGGCGGTTCGCCGAGGTAGACTTAGATGTACAACGTGGATTTCGCTGGCAGATTTTCCAGGACGTTTACCACGCTGTCGAATTCCGACACCATCTGCAATCCCACGTTTTGCGTCCCGGGTTTGCTAGACAGCATGTGGGCTACTCTTTGCCTCAACGTGCTGACAATCACGCTGCGTCTTTGTGTAGGGACGTAAGCCACGAGCAGCATTCCGTTGTTCGCGACTTTCATCAGGTAGTGATCTTTGTTGTCCGTGAAAACGTGGGGAGAGTCGAGGGTGATGTTGAGATTCCAGTCGATTTTAGATGGCACTAATACCCATTTATTGTCGTCGTTGAAGATGAGAGGGTACTGCGTGTTTCTGGAGACGGCCGTGGTCTCGACATCGTCCAGGTGGAACAGCGTGCCATGGAACGCTGTGGTTATAGTCCATTCGTCCTCGCCGTTGCGGATCAAGTCGTACCGAGTGTTGTTGACCGCTAATTCGGTATCAATGAAATCGCGTAGGTCGTTGCTACCACCACCAGCGGCAGTAGAGGGCGGCAGTTCGACACGTTTGTAAATGCTTTTTTTTCAGTTGCAAGGCGTACAGTTTGCCGTCGACTCCGGGTTCGTCGAATCCGCGTGTGTCCCCGAGGTCGGAGATCGCTATGTTGGCGCATTTACTAACGTGTGTTCCTAGACCATGAGACTCTGTCATTGCCGTATGTGCAGCATCGCGCTGAGATATCCTATACTTATTGCATCGTGTTAAAGGTCTAAAACCGATATTTTCAAATCCGTGATGTTGCCTCGTATTAATTTCTTGTAATGCCACGACAAAAACGATTCGTTTCTGCCATTGTTGTACTTTTCCGTTTTCACCGCCACGGCTCTCAGCAGTGTGGAAGGTCGTTCGCCTTGAACGTTGTCCCGACGAAAAGAAAAACACAAAAAATTCTTCAACCACAAAAATCAAATGCCCGTGCCCTACGTCATCTACGCCGACTTCGAAGCCCTCATCAAAACCGTCGACACTGTCACACCGTCGTCCCCGGAAAAAAGTTTCACGCATAAAACGCAAGAACACAAAGCCTGTGGGTTCTGTTACGTGGTCGTTCGATCCGACGGGGAAACGAACGCTCCCGAGGTCCGCCGAGGTCCCGACGCAGCCGAACGATTTCTCACGTGTTTGCAAAACGAAGAGAAAATCATCAGGAAACAGTTGTACACCATCGTCCCCATGCGTATGACCCAAGACGACTGGCGAACTCATAAGAAAGCTAAGAATTGCCACATGTGCGACGAACCCCTGAACGGGGATGTCGTGAGAGATCACTGCCACATCGCCAGCAAGTACAGACGTGCCGCTCACAACGCATGCAACTTGAAGCTCAAAATCAATCCCAAGACCATCAAAATGGTCTATCCCGCAGAACTACACAAATCGCACAACAGTTGTCGGCTGGCTACCGAACGTTTGATGGTGAACCCGGACTGGATGTCTGAATATCAGCGAAACTTGCTGGGAAACAATAAGCTGGCTAACTTTGACAAACTCGTGCCGAACTTGATGAACAAGTCAAAATACGTCGTTCACTATCGCAATCTGCAGCTGTACTTGTCGCTGGGAATGAAACTCACGAAAATACACAGGGCGCTCCAGTTCGATCAAAGTCCATAGATGGAACCTTACATTCGGTTGAACACGAATCTGCGAAAATAAGCCACGAGCGACTTCGAAAAAAACTTGTACAAGCTCATGAACAACTCGGTGATCAGCAAGACGATGGAGAATTTGAGAAAACGTGTTAACGTGAAATTAGTCAGAGACAGCGAGGAAAAAAAACTCAGGAAACTCATAGCCAGCCAGGCGTTCAACCAAAGCAAGATATTCGATGACGGCTTGGCAGCGCTGCACATGAACAAAAGCCACATCAAATTCAACCAGCCCGTTTACTTGGGGATGAGCATCCTCGACTTATCCAAACACTTGATGTATGATTTCTACTACAACGAGCTGAAAAAGCAGTACGGCGACAGGTGCGAAGTGCTGTACACGGACACAGATTCCCTGTTGATGGAAATTC